AGCACGCTACCGCTTGAGCCACATCCCCAGCCCCACCCTTATATTTTTTGAAATATACACATCTCAAATTCAATCATAGACAAACAAATGGAGAATGGACTTAATCATGAAGAGACATTTCACCAAAGCCTCTACAGATGGTAAATGTGCACTTGAAAATACGTTCAACAATATTAGCCATTATGGAAATACAAAGCAAGACCACGATGAGTCTTACTACAAACCTATCAAAACAACTGAAATACAAAATAGTGACAGTATCAAATGCTGATAATGACTCAAAGAAGCTTGATCTTTCCATCATTGGTGACTGGAATATAAAATGGCATAGCCATTCTAGAAAAGAGTTTGATAGTTTCTTAAGAAACTATCCATATTATCTAGCAATTGCACTCTTTGCCATTTATCTCAGATAAATGAAAATTTACATCTATCTGGAAAACATGCATTTTTAAAATATTTTTTTAGTTGTAGATGGACACAGTTTATTTATTTATTTATTTATTTATTTATTCATTCATTCATTCATTCTTTTATGTGGTGCTGAGGATCGAATCCAGGGCCTCACATGTACTAGGAGAGCACTCTACCATTGAGCCACCAGCCCCTGAAAAACATGATATTCATAGTTGTGTTTGTTATAGCCCAGAATTGTAAAAACCAATGGCCTTTAACTAGGTATATAGTTAAACTAACTTGTAGGTGTCTATCATAGAAGACAGACATCAATAAAAAAAGAACCAACTATTGATACACACAACTTGAATACCTCTGAAGGACATTATGCTGAATGAAAAAATAAAAAATAAAAAGTCATGTGTTATTCCATTCACACAACATTCTAGAAATGAAAACTTTTAGGTTTATCTATCAAATTGGTTGTTGCCATTGGCTAGGGAGTCCAGGGGGTAGGAAGATAGCTGTGACTATAATTGGTGTAGCACAAGAGAGATACTAGTGTTGCAGGAATAGTTCTGTGTCTTGGTTTTGGTGATAGTTACACAAATCTATATATGATAAAAATGACAGAAATATTCATATATACATTATACAAAATCAATTTCTGGTTTTCCTATTGTACTACAGATATTTGAGATGAAAACATTGGAGACCAGGCTAAATAAAGGGTACAATGGAGACTCCTCTGTACTATTTTACAATTTGTGAATTTGTAATTATTTTTCAAATAAGAAGTTAAAAATATATGTTTCTATTCAGATAAGTTAGCACTTTTAAGGAAAAGGTTTAAAAAAAGAGAAGTTCAACTTTCTTAGAAGCTCTGGGTTACTCTGGGTATGATAGGGTAGCCACCTCTTTCCTACTCTGCCTATGGTAACCACCTTTGTGTGGAAATCACTGCAACAAAGAATTCTTACTACCTGCCCCCCCCCCATACACAATAAGAATCTCTGCAATACCATTTAGTTTTGGTTTTGTTCAGTATCATATAACAGACCAAGTCAACACAAAAGAAAAGAAAAAAAAAAAACTCCCACAAAACCAATTAAAATATTCTTTTTTTGGGGGGGCGGGGTGGGTATTGGGGATTGAGACCATGACTTCAGAGTGTGCTAAGCAGGCTACATCCCCAGCCCCCTCTTATTATTATTACCATTTTAAATTTTGAGTCAGGGTTTCACCAAGTTGCTCAGGCTGGTCTCTTACTGCCTCAGCCTCACCGAGTCACAGGGATTAGAGGTGTGTGCCACTGGCCTGCAACAATTCCTTTTTTATAAAAGCATCACTTGACCTGATTTTAAGGGGGGTAGAAAATACACTATGGAAAGCTACTTACACAAAAATTCTCGCAGGAAATAAATTTTAAGACGCTTATATTCAAGAATTTTTTAAACTCCATTTTTTTTTTCCCCTAGAAAAGCTAATTCAACAGCTAGCTACAGAAGTTCATAAGAACAGTAGATAAACAGCAATTATGTTGAGCAAAGGTTTTTTAGTCTTTGTTCTGGCATTTGCAGGGAAGGTCATCTTTGTGTCATATAATTAATAGTCAGTGAAAATTGTACACTTTTTAATGTGGTTTTCCAAGTGTTCTTGGCTTTTAGTTCACTTTGACTTAATAGTTAAAAATAGACCCTTCAGAGAGGCATTCACTTCTGCGTGCGTAAAACGATCTGTTCGGTGGTTGGTCACATATTCTAAAAAATTCCACACTGACTTATATTTGAAAAAAAAATTCATAGGACAAAAATTTTCGTTCCTGTAGACTAAGTTGCCACTGCCCCTATGAGATAAACTAAAGGGCTCCAATAATTTAGACTTCGTCCCTTACGTCCCACCCTAGTCCCCCTGGAACCGAAGCTGTCAAATTTTAGGTTTTCGAATAAAGTCTAAGATGCTCAGAAACATTAAGACAATTTGTCTTTTATCGTACAACAGTGGTTTTAATTAGGAGAGATTGGGTAGGCCACAGAGTCCAGATAGGAAATACTGAAGACCGAACTCGCTTTCTCGCTTCCCCAGGGGGTAAAGCTTTCAGGTCTTGGCCGCCAGGGGTAGGAACCTTCCCAAGACCTGGCCGACTCGTGGCCGCCTTCACCACGCTAGGGGATGGGGCGGGACTAAGGAAAGGGGCGGGGTCTGCCCGGAGACAAGATGGCGGCAGCGCGACGCTCTGGACCGCCTTGGTCACAACTCGGTATTCGGAAGTCCTCCAGTCTTCACCTTTAGGAAGCGGAAGTAGAGGGGCGGCTGGCTGCTAGGCTTTTGCTCTGGGACCGGCTTGTGAGCCGAGCCGCGGGAAAGGCGCGTGTCGGCTTTTCACTGGCGCAGCCTCTGCCGCTGTCGCTGCCGCCCCGCCCCGGCGTAGTCACAGGCGCTGTAGTGGACTAAACGCGGCCGGTGCGTGGGCAGCCAGGGGGTCGCTAGCAGCGCGTGTGTCGCGGCTGCGCGACCAGTGACAGGTACCCAGGGGCGGCGTGGGAAGGCCTCGTGGATGAGGAGAGGGTCTGGGGCGCGAGGCGACCCTGTGCTCAGGTCACCTTGAGCTTCCGCCTTTACCCTGACTCAGTTTCTCCTCCATCGTCTCAGCCTTCCTCCTCCTCAGGAGCCCAGGTTGTCCGCAGTGGTCGTCGGTGCAAGGTAGCTCTTGCTCCGGGGTGGTGGCGGACTCTTGATCGGTTTCAAGCCTTCAGGAAGTGCCCTAACATGAATCTAGACCAAGCCTGACCCTAAGTAGGTCGAGAACCAGCACTTTGCAGGATTCTGATTGATGAACTATTTGGTCTTTTTTATAGATTTCTGTTTTCCTTACCATGAGTTCGGGGGAGGCATATTGGTTGCCGTTTTCATTTAATGCTAGGCTCTTTTGGCTGGAAATTGAATGATCCGGTTTCACTTTTAGTGTGGGACCTTCAGAAGAATATCTGCGTGCATCGCCAATAAGTTATGAATGTTAACTGTTCTTGTTCCTTGGCCGAAATCTCTTATCTTGTTTGGCGTTTTTTACAGATTTGTGAAGGGACACATTTTGTTTATTCTTAGTCCTGGTGTCTTATACCTTACTATGCTTTGGAATCATTCATTGGTGCACTTGGTGAACAATTTTAGTATAAAGTGCCCTCTTTTCTTGAAATACCTTGTACCTGGCAACACTTGAAGGCATTTTAAATAGTTTAACACCACAAAAGTGGAGATGATTGTAGCCTTTCCACTAGGTTTGCTTTTGATGAACTTATTTGAAACTTTTTATTAAGAGAAGTAAACATAATACGTTATACACACACACACACACACACACACACACACACACACACCACTGAGTCATATCCCCAGCCCTTTGTTGTATTTATTTAGAGACAGGGGTCTCACTGATCTAAATCGCGGAGGCTGGCTTTGAACTTGTGATCCTCAGCCTCTGGAACAGCTGGGATTACAGGCGTGTGCTACCGTGTCCAGCTGCACCAACACGGTATCTTAATGCAGGTTTAACTTCAACGGAATAAGTTTAACTACGAGAAAATTTAGTTATTACTTCTGCAATTAAACTTCTCTGATCATTTTCAGGTTAAATACAATATACTTTTAGCTGAAATTAGATTTATGTTGTTCACCGCAAACGGCTTTGCTAAATGATATGCATGTATCAATGTAAATCTAATTAGTTGAGAAGTTAATTCTTAGAAGTTGCTTCCTAATAGTTTTTCTCTTTACTACCAACTATGTTGAGTGAGACTTAGTTGACCACATAAACTTGCAGATTGCAGGTTATTTTTAAAATGTTTGTTAGCTGTTCTCTCCACTGTAAAAATGGAAGATGAGAAAGTTGGTGATGACTTAACATCACTCTGCCAGTTGTTTTCTAAAAAAATGAAGTATTAACCATACATAATTTTTTGTTTTATATACATATATTTTAATACCTTTATTTTATTTATTTTTATGTGGTGCTGAGGATCAAACCCAGGGCCTGCTTGTGCTAGGTGAGCACTCAACCACAACCCCAGCCCTAATTTTTCTTTTATATTTTCTATATCTTACTGTAGATAAATGAGCAAAAGGTATCATTTTAATTTAAGCATAGTAGTATCTTACAGATATTTGATGGTACAGTTGGACTTAGAACCTAAGAGTGTTTTCTATTTAGCCATCATAGTACAAGCATTGTGCCTGTGATTGTGCAGTGCCACACTGCACAGTTTGACAACTTTYATCACTCAGACTGTTTATCTTTATGAGCAACATTGAAGAGCCATTAGGATCTGAATAATAAAAGATCTCATAAGATGAAGACATCCACAAACAAACAAAAAGCACTTGAGTGAGATTCTTCTGTTTCTTTGGACAACCTTTTCCTGTGGTGTTACTTGTAGAAACAATGTGGGGTTAGGCAAAACTCTTTAATGTGTACCTTTTCTCTTGTTCTCATCTCTAGTGGTGTTGTGCCTTCTCAAAAACAGACACTTTCTCTTTAAACAGAACAAGGGGACCTCTGGGTAACTCATAGATATGTAGGATTTTCATTTTCATCTTTCTTATAGTCTTAGCCTGTTTGTATGAGCTTTATTCTTGGGGCCACACTCCCTTCTTTTTTTATTTTGTTTTTATTTTGAGCAGAGGTCTTGAACTTCTTGGGCTCAAGCAGTCCTCCTGCCTCAGCTTCCCAAATGCTGGAGCTATAGGTGTATATCACCATGTGCCTGGCAAATTTTAGATGTTGCCAAACAGCAATTTGGAGGGGGATGTGCTGGGGAACAACCCAGTTCCATACTTCTTTCTGTTCTATTGTTTTTTTTTTTCTTCCTTTAATGAATGAAGCTTGTTTATTTCAGGCTGAGTACCTCCTGTGTTCTAGGCAATATGCTAGGCATGGTGACCATGACAGAATTTCCTGCTTTTGGGGAGCTCAYATTCAGTCCCTGAAGCTAGTCTAACTATGGATTTGTCAGGCTTGTTTGTCAATTTTTCATTCCAGGTTCAGGCCTACTTCCTTGGTTTTGGGTTGAAACTGTTCCTCTCTCAGCCACTTGTGTCCCAGGTTCTTGTTTCATGAAAAATCCTTGGATTTGCCTTGGTTCTCACAGTGAAGCCTTTGCTTATTCTCAGTCTGTGCGGTATGAATTTTTCTTTCTCCTAAAACCAGAGAACAAGGGGAGACAGGATGGTACTTTAGAACTTTAAAAACAGGTAGTATGGGTTCCAAGGTGCTGTTTATTAGTTGCCCAGTATGCCTAAGGTAAAAGCCCCTCTGAGCTTTTATTTTCTTGAAGTGGGGATGTTATTATCCATTCATGGAACATTTATGGACTGCCTACCATGTGCCAGGTACTTGTATTGTTTACTATTTTGAAGAAAGCAAACAAGATTGCTACCCTCAAGGAACTTCAGTTCCCAGTTTATTATGTAAAGATTAGGTAACATGGTACCTTTAGAACATCTTTTTTTTTTCCTCCAGTTTTGTTGTTCTTTTTTTTTTTATTGGTTGTTCAAAACATTACATAGCTCTTGACGTATCATATTTCATACTTTAGATTCAAGTGGGTTATGAACTCCCATTTTTACCCCGTATACAGATTGCAGAATCACATCGGTTACCTTTAGAACATCTAACATGATGCTTAGCCCAAAGTCATTGTTCTGTAAAGGATGAGGTTTCTCAGAGGGCTTTTATTGTGCCCCTAGTTCCCTAACCACAATCTACTTGCTGTCTGCTGGGGTTACTGCGTAGTGGTGTTCAGTTGTCATCAGGAATCACCACTTTGTGGGTATTAAGCATCTAGGCCCTTTCAGGACAAATTGTAAACATAGCCAGAATCATAATAATGCTTTGATATGCTTTGTCTCCAATTTAGAAATTCAAGTGACTTTTTTGGAGGATTTTTTTTCCTTCTAGCCACAGAGAATAAATTTCCAGGGCCTATTTTTGATGATATGCCATTCTATAATTTACAGTTTGTTTTTCTTATGATAAAATGTTTTACTACAGTGATTGATTCTGGGATAGTAGTTTTTGCACTTTACAAAGTGATTTTCATATTGTCTTTTCATTTTCACAGTGATTCTGTGTGATAGATTGTTATTCCTTTTTTATAGTTGAGAGTGATCTAAAGTTGTATGTATAAGTTGGGGTACTTGCTCGCTCTTCTTTGTGATATGTCAATAACTTTACTAGATTCCTGTAGCTGGTAATCACTCCTTATAGGTTTCATTGTCAAATATCTGCTTTGGTTAGCTCTATTTTCCAAAGATTTTATTTTTTGCATATTTTCTTTGATAGCAGCAGGCATTCCTTGGCTTGCAGTATAATTGAATGTCTACCTGTCTTCACCTGGCATTCTTCCTGTGTCTCTTCATATTGTTTTCTGTTTCTGTGTCGAAGTTTCTCTTTTATAACATTGGTTATATTGGATTAGCCCATCCTAAAGACCTCATCTTTATTGATCACTGTGTAAAGACCTTGTCTCCAAGTAAGTTCATAGTTTGGAGGTTAGGTTACTGGGGGTTAGGACTTCAACATATCTATTTTTGGAAGATAAAATTCAACCCATAACAACCATCCATCATTTGTGTTCCGTCTGTCTCAGCTTTATTGCCATGTTTTATAAAATCCGGTTACATGCAACCTGCTGTGCCACCCACTGACTTTTATATTTCTGTTAGTATAGACTGGAGAAAGTGAACTGGACCCTCAGTAGGGAAGAATAAAATATTCTACCTGCCTTTAGTTATGTATCAGTTACTCAGAAAATATTAGACTATGTAGCTATTAAGTGCTGTGTACCTTTCAAAAATGTTTGTTTCTGTAACTTTAATGTTATTTTGTGGCTCCTAGTATTAATATTGTTATTTTTTTTTAATCTCTAGGTACTAAGATTGTTATTTTGTGTCTCCAAGTATTAAGATTTAAACTTTACCTTCTTTTTCCCCTTTTAGGGCTTTGCTATAAAATGGAACTTCTGATTGCACTCACTGGACTATGGCTGTTCTCTTCAGTAAAGGCAGATTCAAAAGCCATTACAACCTCTCTTACAACAAAGTGGTTTTCCACCCCACTGTTGTTAGAAGCCAGGTAAAAAGACATTCTTCTCTTTCACATATTGGAGTGTAAAAGTAGGCTCTGCCATGAATGTTCAGGTGTTTTTTAGGGAGTGAGATTATGATCCTCAGATGCATTTATTAAGAGCCGCCCCTTTCAATGTAGACTATAATACCTCCCATAGAAAGCCTGTTAGGATACAGAACCTGTCTTTCCCTAGGACAGGGCTGTATTGATTCATAGAGACATTTATTTTTTTTTTATTTTTTTATTTTTTAAAGAGAGAGTGAGAGAGGAGAGAGAGAGAGAGAGAGAGAGAGAATTTTTAATATTTATTTTTTTTAGTTCTTGGCGGACACAACATCTTTGTTGGTATGTGGTGCTGAGGATCGAACCCGGGCCGCACGCATGCCAGGCGAGCGCGCTACCGCTGAGCCACACCTCCAGCCCCCATAGAGACATTTAGAAACTTTCTTAGATAAATATAATGAAGTGATTAAATTATCATGTGATTTTTTTTTTTGGGGGGGGGAAGTTTTAAGTGTGGGCATAATGGAAGAGAGTATTATACTTAAAAAAAAGTCTTTGTTTATTTGAAGAAATGTTTAATAAATAGAATAGAAGAGAGGTTGTTAAGGTAGGGGAACAAACGAAGACACATTTTTCCTAAGAACTTGGAAGAAGACCCCAGGACAAAGAAGAGCAGGGAGAGGGGAAGAGCTGAGGAAGTGACCATGCTTTACYTGTTCTAAAATGTACATTGTTTACATTTTAACATTTCCCAAATCAGGATGTGTTTTTATCAAATCAGGAAGTTATCTTTAATTAAAATTGGTAGTATTTTCAACAAAACTCTAGTATGTCTTCAAATCAATAAAATATATAGACAACAATTTCTTGGGAAATCTTGTATTCCCAGTGTGCTTTTTTAGCTAGTGTTTATAATGTAAATACCATATTTCAGTTACCTTTGTGGTTTATCTTTGTCATCTTCAACTTAGAATTTTGTCTTCTAATATTTTCTCCTTAATTCCTCAAAAAATATGAAAGCAGAATTTTGTTACATTGATTATTTATATGAGTAGTTGCCCTTTCTAAGCACAAAGCAACATTTGATATTGCTAAGAGGGTCCATGGGCGTGGGGCACATAGAAGCTGAGTTGGACATGTTCAGGGCCTAGTAGACTTTGCTTAACAGATTTTCCATTACTTCTTTGCGTCCCCTTTCCCAGCAGTGAAATGGCAAAAAAGACAAAAAGCCCCACCAAAACATACACTGTATTTCATAGGATATTACAGTAACTAATTTGATAAATGTATTGAGCTCCTCAAATGTCAGAACTTTATTAGTAGTCATAAAATTGAAGTAACTGAAGGTTATTGACTATCTGAGCCAGGACTCTAGTAACTAAAGTTTTTTTGTTTCCTTTTTGCTAATTTAATTTTGGATCATTTGTCTGGTATAAATCTAAGTCATTGAGATTCGCTGTTATTCTCTGAATAATCTTGAAGAATTAACCGTAACAGATGTTTTGTGATATTCTGCTTAACATTCTTAACTGACTTACATCTCACTTTTTTTTTATATTAACTAATTTCTTGGTATTTGTACTTTGTCCTAGAAGATTTTTATGACATATACTTATGGATTTTTGGGAATGCCTGCTAAAATTGCAGCCTTAATTGCATAATATTTTTTTCTTTTTAGTKTTTTTGATCACTATGAAATAGGTAGAATATGATGTTTCCTTCACCAACTTCCTCATCACAAACATCTCCCCTTTTCATGATACCCCTGGTTGTTTGCCTTTTGAGTCATTATTTTTAGGCCTTTTCTGTGGCTAATTGCAAATAGATGTCCAAGGTAATGGGACTTATAGGCAACTCAGAATGGAACTCTTCTTATCTGAAACCACTCCATGTTTACCTCCAGAGCTATCTGAGGCCACTATTTTTCCCTCCTGTGTGTAATGATGGGTTATGGCACTTTGTCCATTTGGTTGAGGATGAATGGTCAGAATCTTTTTCTACACATCAAGGTGTGTAGGTATTACAGACCGTTTTGCTTTCTTTGCCTTTAGCCCTTTGGGACTAAAAATATTCCTGCATATATTTTAGATTATGCCCAGTGTTTAATGAAGGGGGTTGTAGTTTCATGGTCACTAATGTAATTATATGTATTTGATTGAAGTAAAACCCTGAATATGGTTTTTTTAAAAAAAAATTCTTTTTAGATGTTGATGGACCTTTATTTTATTCATATATATGTAGTGCTGAGAATTGAACCCAGTGCCTCACACATACTTGGCAAGTGCTCTACCACTGAGCCCTAGCCCCAGCCCCTGAATATGTTTTGACAACTATAATTACTAATAGAAATGTTATGTAAATAGTTATTACTTTAAAATATATATATATTTAATATCTTTATTTATTTATATATGTGGGGCTGAGGATTGAACCCAGTGCCTCATGTATGCAAGGCAAGCGCTCAACCACTGAGCTGCAACCCCAGCCCAGTAAACAGATATTTTTATGTTTTTTTTTAGAGAGAGAGAGAGAGAGAGAGAGAGAGAGAGAGAGAGAGAGAGAAATTTTTTAAAAAATATTTATTTATTTTTTTAGTTCTCGACAGACACAACATCTTTGTTTGTATGTGGTGCTGAGGATTGAACCCAGGCCGCACGCATGCCTGGCGAGCGCGATACCGCTTGAGCCACATCCCCAGCCCAAAAGATATTTTTAATAAAGTTGAAATCAATACTCATTTATTGGGTGCTTAGTATTTTAATGGCCCAAGAATGTAGCATGATAGAGATAGACATCAAATAGACATGAATTTATATTCTGGATTTTTTCATTTACTAACTCTGTGCCCTGTTTCTGTTGCCTTCAAATCACAGTTTCTTTATTTAGAAAATGCTTATAACTGCTGATAGCTGTAAGGATTTGTTGACATTGATAGATATGCCAAGTATAATGACTGCTGCATAGCAGACCCTTCTTATACTTAAGTCCTTTCCCTTCTCCTTCTAGTCCTGTGTAGAAAATACCTCTTCTGATCTCCAACAATAACTTTAGAAATCTAAGAAAACAAGTTAACCACCAGTTTGTGCTATCTGATGGATAGTTAGGTTGTTTGCAGTTGTTTCTTTCTTTCTTTCTTTCTTTTTTTTTTGTCATAAGTGAAAAGCTTTTTATTATGAGATTTCTTTTTTTTAATATATTTTTTTAGTTGTAGTTGACACAATACCTTTATTTTATTTATTTTTTTATATGTGGTGCTGAGGATCAAATCCAGAGCCTCACACATGCTAGGTGAGTGCTCTACCGCTGAGCCATGCCACAGCCCCTTATTATGAGATTTCTTAGTAAGTAATTTTTTTCATGTCTTGGACATTTATTTTTCCAGACTTTTGTTTTGTTTTTTTGTGGTGCTAGGGCTCAAACCCATGGCCTCTTGCATGCTAGACAAGTGTTCTATCACTAAACTACATTCCCATCCCTATTTTGAGACTTCAGAATGCTTACAAATGGAGAGAACAGTATAATCCGTTCTCCCTGTACCTTTTAGCAATTATTATTTGAAGTCCAGTAGCTACCACCACCCTTACCACCTTATCCCCTTCTCCACTGGCATATTTTTAAAGCAAAATCTCAGCTATTATATAATTTTCATCTATAAGACCACAGATTTACTCAGTGAAATGAGTATAAGAAACAAAAGAAAAAGTGAACTTAGTTATGTTGTAGAAAAATGGCAGCGTTCTTTTTAATAATGTCTTCTATTTACCTCTTTCCTGGATTATTTCAGTAGATCCAGTAATTCATTTTCTTAAGACTCTTCTAAGCTAGACCTGTAAGACTTATTTATGTAGTGGGATGTAAAAGAATGTGTATTTCAAGAATTTTTCCTGTAATTGTATAAAAAGCACATATTTAGCCTAACTGAATCTTTGTTCTTATCACAACTGATGAGTATGTCACATACCATCCCTCTGCTAACTTATGAACACAGCTGTAATTCATGAATTTTGTGTTTATTTGCAAATCATGACATATGTTAGTACCTATTTTCTTAGACTGTAAGGTATTCTATGGTTGGTCTTTTGTCTATGTCAGTTACTAGAAAGCTGAGAAAAATAGTACCCTCAGGAGGCACTAAATAATTTAATACATTATGATAAGAGGTGTTTTCAGCAACCTATTTTTAGAGAAGCTGTGCATTACCAGGAAATGTTTCTTATTTTTCCCATATTTCTGTGTCTAGCTGTGGAGTAGAGTGAGAGTTGTACACCCCAGTGTTGACAAGTAATGGGAAAGTCTTCCTTTGGCTAGGTAAGCAGAGATACAGATCTGTAGTTTGCTTTAAGACACTGAAAGATCACCACTGCATTAGTTCTGTGGCTTGGAAGCTAAGATAAMCAGTTTACATGAATCATTCTTTCAGTTATTACATGCATTTTCTCTTAGGGATTTTAAGATTATTTAATAAAGGGAAATTCAGAGTGGTCATTATTTTAGGGTAATAGTTTAAGGCAGAAAAAAAATATTAAGATAACATTAAGTTCTGAGATCTGATTTTGTTAGATCAGTGCTAATTTTAGATTCAAGTTTGATGATCTTGAAAATTTGGATTTTTGGATGTTAGCAAAATTTTAGTCTCCTAAAATTTTTTTAGGGTTCATGTATTCTGTTGGAGAACCTTGGGCAAAAATTTTATTCTTTGTAAGGTCTTTCAGAAAATCACAGCAGAACTAGTACTAGAATTATCAATTCCTAATTCTGCTTCCATTACCAGTAGCATTTTTACTAATGAGGTTTCATAAGCTTTCTTTATATTGGGACTTCCCTGTTAACAACATTTTTATTATTCCAGGTTTCTTAAGAAATAGCTGTTAACCTATTAAATGAAAAAGTTATTAATAAGTTATTAATTGAGCTAATGAGCTAGTAAGACTTGCTTAGCATTAAGAAAATATACATTGTATGTAAAATGTATATCATGTATTTTAAATTAAAAGTCAAACTATGGACATTTGGAAACTTCAAAACCTCTTTTTATTCTCTGTAGTAATATATTTTATATTAGAAGATTTTATTAAGTTTTTTTTTTTTTCTGACATTTCCCCCTTTTCTCCCAGTGAGTTTTTAGCAGAAGACAGTCAAGAGAAATTTTGGAATTTTGTAGAAGCCACTCAAAATATTGGATCATCAGATCATCACGGTAAAATTGAAGCAAATGCTTCTTTGACTTTGGTGTCTGGGAAAATATTAGAAAAAGTGGTTTCTTTTATAGTATGTGTGACATGACAGTTAATGGAAAACATTTTTATCTGTAAGGGCTAGAGTTGTGATGGTAGGCAGGAAGAGCCAACATAGCACACATAGTTATTTATTTTTGGTGTTAGGGATTGAACTTGGGGCCTTGTGAATGCTAAGTACATGCTCTACCACTTAGCCATACCCATAATCCCCATAGACTTATACCAATTATTTATTTATTTATTTTTTAAGAGATGGGATCTCTTACTGTGTTGCCCAGGCTTTGAACCCCCCTGAGCTCAAGCAGTCCTCTGACTCAGCCTCCTGAGTGCCTGGGACTATTGGCCCAAATAATAATAATATYAACAATAATAATAATWATTATTATTATTTTTGGGACTGGGCATTTAATCCAGGGGCACTTTAGCACTGAGCTGTATCCCTTTTATTTTTTTATTTTGAGACAGGGTCTCACAAAGTTGTTGAGAGTCTCATTAAGTTGCTGAGACTGGCTTTGAACTTTCAATCCTCCTGCATTTGCTTTCCCAGTTGCTGGGATTATAGTCCTGGACCACTGCATCTGGCCCAAATAATTATTTTTGATGCAGTTTATAAATTTGAGTATAAGCCTTGACTTTTTGTCCCAGTATTTGTATTGTTCTTTATTAGAGTGTGGAAGTACATTTTATTTTAAACCATTTAGTGTTAATTTAATATCCATCTGACCTGATTCACTCTCTTTTATTATGAAATAATTACACAAGTGATCTATTATCTATTAAGTTTTATCATTAAGTTCCTGCCATCCAGAATGTTTTCCATTATGCCTGCCAGCCACCCACCACTTGAGTGTCAAGGTATCAAATTAGTGATATATCCTGGGTCACTCATTACTGTTTATGATGTGCTTTCACAAACATTCTCTAATTTGATATAAGTGACATAGGATATACAGTCAAAGATGCTGATGTACAAGTATAGTCGTGCACTGCATAATCATATTTTGGTCAATTATGGACCACATATATGATGGTGGGCCCATAAGATTATATTGCCTAATGACATCATGGCTGTCTTAGTTTGTGTTAAGTACACTGATGTTTACACAGTGACAGAATCGCCTGATGATGATGCAGTTCTTTGACTGTAGTTCAAACCTTGAGCTGGGCATGGTGGTACATGCCTGTGATCCCAGCAACTTGGGAAGCTGAGGCAGGAGGAACAACAAGTTTGAGACCTGCCTCAGCAATTTACTAAGGCCCTAAACAAGTTAGCAAGACTCTGTCTCGAAATAAAAATTAAAAAGGGCTGGGTATGGGGCTCAGTGCTAAAGTGCCTCTGGTTTCAATCCCCAGTACAAAAACAAAACAAAAAAACCCCCAAACAACCCAAAAACAACTCATACCTTGAATATTACATTTACAGGTGTAAGTCCTTATTAAAGAAGAAATTTTGAAAACTATGTAACTGCTATTAATTATTAAAATTGATTTTTAACTTTTTTTTTTCTGAGATGTGGGTCTTGCTATGTGTCCAGGTTGGTCTTGAATTCATGGGCCCAAGCCTTAGTCTCCCATGTAGTTGGAACTACAGCCGTGTGGCACCATGCCCAGTATAACTTTTTAATTTCATTAAAATAACACCAATTTTATTAGAATAATATACATTTTAATAGTTGTCTGAATCTTTTTTTGGGATAGAAATATATAAAGGTTTTGAATAAGCATTCTTATATRTATTTTAGAGTCAACTAGAATTAAGTTATCAAAAATCATTTTACTTCAGGATTTCATGGAACAAATTTATCAAAGTTGATTTTATAATGAGACTTGAAATTTGACATTTGAAAGGAAATTTCCTCAATATATTTGATATATGTTCTTGGTTAAAGTTTCAGGAGTATGAATTCTTGGAAGTGATCATAGAGTATGTTAAACATGTTGTTTATTTGAAATATTCATATTTCTACCACCCAAAGATTGACACCATTAATATTCTGGCAACATTTTGAGGTATTTCTTTCTGTTCTCTTTTTCTGTGTAAAAGATGCTAATATTGTATAGAACCTTTTATATTCAGCTTTTAAAAATGTTAATACTTTTCCTTTTAAAATTGAATAATTTTTAAAAATTTTTTACAATATACAGACACGTGTGTATGTATACACACACACACACATATACACACACAGACAAGACAGATATATATCCTTATTTCTCATTCTTTTGGTAAAAAAACATAGTTTACTATGTACATTGTTTAGTACCTTGTAGTTTTTATTTACCTGGGAAATTTTTCATACTAATAGATTTTTTTATTCCCATTCAAATAATTTGGTTCAACTTTTTGTTTAAATGTTTTTCAAACTTTATGGATTTATCAGTTTCTTTTAATGCCTTGTATTTTCTCATCACATTGCTCAGTTTCTATTTTTTTAAAAATTTGTTTTAGTTATTTGAGTAAATAGCATATGCTAGGTAGAAAACATATGCTAGGTACCCAGGATACCCAGATAAATAAGTCATGGCCTCTGCCTGTGAGGCCTGAAGTTTAGTTTGGTGGTAGGTAGACAGTGAATAAATAATTTAGTAAATGATGTGAAAGCAAAGAAATATTCTGGGATCCAAGAAATACTGTAACTAGTTCATTGATGCATGGAGTAGAGATCTGGGTGACTTCCTAGAGTAGGTGATTTCACAGTTAAATTCTCCTTTTGAAAGTAGGGAAGAGTAAATCATCCAGGTAAGTGGGAAAATAGTCCAGGAAGAGGGAATAGTTTGAACCAAAGGATGAAGAGAAGAATAATCCAACTGCATTGTATATTCTAGGGAATTTTTAAGCATTTGACAAAAGTTCAAAAAACTATCTTATTTGGATATCTCATGTCAAATACAACTGTTTTGGTTAATTTTCTTCCTCAACAGGTACTGATTATTCCTATTATCATTCGATTTTGGAAGCTGCATTTCAGTTTTTGTCACCTCTACAGCAGAATTTGTTGAAATTTTGTCTGTCTCTTCGTTCCTACTCGGCTACAATTCAGGCCTTCCAGCAGGTAAATCTAGTGCTTCTAGCTAACAGCATTTTGAATGGTGTATGACATGATAATTGGATAGATGACAGTTGTTCTGGAATTGAATTACAGAGCTATCACTTTTTTGCCTGACTTTTCTGGGATTTGTGATTTATTTATAAATAATAAGCAAAACTGATGTTAAGTCTTCAAATCACAGATACTTAAAAATGTAATTTGCACTTATGTTTATATGAGAAAGGAAAAAATATCTGCACAAAAAGGGGAACCAGATTTTTTGTGTGTAACACTGTCTGGGAGGTGTAATCTTGCTAAACCAATAAACCTAAATCTAATCACAGCCTTTAGATCTGAAAGCAGTTCACAGGAAATACAGGAGACAGGAAGTGTCAAGCAGCATCACAGGGATGTAATAAGGAAAATTTATCATTAGGGAAACTTTTTGCAGTCAAGTGATCTGGTTATTTCAATGAATAAATGATTAAAGGAAAAGAAAAAGGACAGAGCAACTTCAGGAGAGAATTTAAAAAATATTTAATGTAGTGCAGGAATCTTGTTTGAATCTTGACAAAGACGGGAGCAGAAGAGACAAATATGTGTACATTAAGTGGACATTTGATATGAAAGAAAAGTTCATTTAAAAACCATTTTGTAATATTAAATAGGTATAGAGAACCACTCACAATGGATATATAGTATAAAGAATTATTTTATTTTTTACCTCTTTTTCTTTTCATTCATTCATTCATTCATTCATTCATTCATTCATTCATTCATTTAATGTTTTTTGCCGTGCTGAGGATTGAACCCAGTGCCTCTCACATACGAGGCAAGCATTCTGCCACTGAGCCACAATCCCAGCCCCAAATGAATTATTTATTTATTTAATATTTATTTTTTTGTTTTCGGCGGACACAGCATCTTTGTTTGTATGTGGTGCTGAGGATCGAACTCGGGCCGCACGCATGCCAGGCGAGCGCACTACCGCTTGAGCCACATCCCCAGCCCCCAAATGAATTATTTTAAAGTGAGCATTCTTGTGATTTTCACCTAGTCAGAGAAATAGGACTTAACCAGGCACCCTATAAGCACTCCATGTGCTCTGACCCCATCACAGCCACCTGTTGTCTTCTGAAAGGAACCACATTGTCATGTTCTGTTGGAATCTTCTCCTATGGTTCTCTATCATTTTACTGTGTAAGCATGCACATCGACTCAATTTAGTTAGTTTTGCCTAGTGTTAGAAAATTTGATATCTATGGAAGGGGTTTTCTTAATTTATAGGTTTTCTTCCATCCTTTTTCCATTGTATGACTTGGAGTATTTGCACTGTAGATTTTTTTTTTTTCATGGACTATATTTTGTTGATCACATACTTCTGACACAGTTCAACTTTTTCCTCTGTTGTCTGTTTCCTACAAATTGGCAGTTGAGTCCAGAAGCTTGATCAGAATTGGGTCTTTGTTCAGTCTATAGGTAATGTTCTGTTCTTAGAGACACCTAATAATTGGTTTCTTTTTTTCTGATTTAGCAGTCATTATTGCTCTGTGCTAAATCTATTAATTCTTTGGGGGTTGTAAAGTGGTGATTCATCCTGTCATTTCATATTCATTTGTTTCTGGAATGTGATATATATCCTAATCTGGTATTGTTTGGTGATATTGTTCAACATAGGAAAGGCAGAACACCTACTTGATTCTTTGCCTTTATTTACCAGAATTCAATATCATCCTTCTAGTTTAACCATTTAGGTTTTTGTTTATGTTTTTCCTTTATTTTGGTAAAATACATATAACATTTGTGATTTTTGCTGCTCTTAAGTTTAAGTGTACAATTTATTGATACTAGGTGCATTAATGCATCTTCAAAACTTTTTTCACCTCACAAAAAAAGATGTTATTTCACTGTTGGCCACATCGTTTTACATTGCCATTAATAATGCATGAGGGTTCTAATCTCCACATCTTCCTCAACACTTGGTATTTCCTGATTTTTAAATTGGCCATTCTAATGAGTTTGTAGTGGTTTGTTCTTGTGGTTTTGATTTGTGTTTCTTTAAGACCAATGATGTAGAACATCTTTTTATCTATTTAGTGTCATTCTGCATATCTTCTCTGGGGAAATGTCTTTTTAACTCCTTTGCCCATTTTTGAATCAGATTGTTTGATTTTTGTTGAGTTGTAGGAATCTTTATATATTCTGGATAGTAGTTCATATCATAATTTGATATATAAATCAGTTGACCTTATATGCAAACATTTATTTCTGGGCTCTCTCTTCTAGTCTTTTGTTCTATCTTTATTTCCAGTACCACATTGATTGCTGTACCTTTGTAGTAAGTTTGGAAATCAGGAAGTATGTATGTTCCACTATTCTACTGTTTTTTTTTTTTTTTTTTGTGTGTGTGTGTGTGTTTGTGATACTAAAGATTAAACCCAGGGGTTGCCCTGCCACGGAGTTGCATCCCCAGTCCTTTTCCTTTTTGTTTTGATATTTTTTTTTGGCTTACTTTAGTATAACTCATTTCATCTTAGTTCTATAATTACTTATATCTTTATTACTCACCACCAGTCTAGGCAAATGTCTCTAATTATTTAGCTTTTTTGATGTTGCTATTGGCAGATTCCTCAAGAATGGCTCATGGGAATAATATTTACTCAGTTTTTGTATGTTAAGGTAATTGTTTCTATGTGCCCTTTGCACTTGAAGTCTAGATATAAAACCTTGGTTCATATTTTCATTTCTTGGATATCTTAACCATTCATTTCTCTTTCATCATAGTCTTCCACATATAATGTGATAATAATCTCAGTTTCTTTCCCTTGAAAGTTTTTTTGCGCTATTTTTTTGTCCATAGTAGTGCTGAAATCAAACCCAGGGCCTTATTCATATGAGTCAGCTTCTTTACCTCTGAGCTATATTCTCAATCCTTTTTGTCTATTAAGTCCAGAGGATTTTTTCTTTTAAGTTATAATTTACTAGAATATTGGGGCTGGGGATGTGGGGATGTGGCTCAAGTGGTAGCGCGCTCACCTCAGCACCACATACAAATAAAGATGTTGTGTCCGTTGAAAACAAAACAATAAATATTAAAATTACCCCCCCTCTTTCTCTCTCTAAAAAAAAAAAGAATATAACTTAGTGGTGATTTTTATGGGTCAATATTATTTGGTATACAATATGTGCTTTTAGTACAGAATTTCAAATAGTTTCTTTATTTCAGATTTTTTTTTTACATTATAATTTGTTCTTTCCCCTTTTTTTTTGTTTACATATTTTCTCCAGTGATTCATATTATATATGTTGATTTTTCTTTGCTGATCTTCATTGTTCATCCTATTCTCCTGAATGTCTTTTTTGTTTTTTTGTTTTTTTTTTTTTTGTACCAGCAATTGAACTTAGGGGTGCTTAACCACTGACCCTAGCCCTTTTTTTTTACATTTTATTTTGAGACAGGGTCTTGCTCAGTTGCTTGGATTCTCACTAAATTGCTGAGTCTTTGAACTTGTCATCTTCCTGCCTTAGCCTCTTGAGCCTCTGTGATTACTGTGTGTGCCCAGCTTTTTTTCTTTTTTAAATTTAAGAAAATTGCTTTTGTTTCTTTATTTCTCTGTCTTGTGCTGGGAATCAAACCCAGGGCCCTATGCATGCTAAGCATGCATTGAGCTATACTCCCAGCCATTATCTCTAACTTCTTTTTTTTTTTTTTTTTTTTTTTTATTGGTTTTGTTTTGTGGTGTTGGGGATTGAATCTAGGGGATCAGACATAGGGCTTCACACATGCTAGCCAAGTGCTGTAACCTTGAGCTACTCTTAATTTCTTTTCTTTTTTTTTTTTTTCCAGTACTGGGGATTGAACCCAGGGGCACTCAACCACTGAGCTACATCCCTAGCCCTTTTTATTTTTGAGACAGGGTCTTGCTAAGTAAGCAGCCCAGGCTGGTCTTAAATTTGTGATCCTCCTGCTTTAGCCTTGGAAGTTGCTGAGATTACAGGCATGTGCCTCTGTGCTTGGCTGAGCTACTTTAATTTAAATCATTACTTGTTGTGTTTATTTTCATATTCTTTCTAGCTTAGTTTTTATTTCTAAAATGATTTTTTTAAATCTCTAAAATTCTTTCTGAGTTTTATCACCTCATTTGTGAGTTTTTCTAACTTAGTTATTTTTTATGTCTTGTATTATCTTTTTTTATTATTATTTATTTATTTTTTAATGAGAAAGGAAGAAAGTAGAGAAGAGAGAAAAGAAGGAACACATTTTTTTAGAGAGAGAGAGAGGAGAGAGAGAGAGAGAGAGAGGAGAGAGAGAATTTTAATATTTATTTTTCATTTTTTGGCGGACACAACATCGTTGTTTGTGGTGCTGAGGATCGAACCCGGGCCGCACGCATGCCAGGCGAGCATGCTACCGCTTGAGCCACATCCCCAGCCCATTTTTTTATTATTTTGTTGTAGATCGACACAATGCCTTTATTTTATTTATCTATTTTTATATGGTGCTAAGGATCAAACCTAGGGCCTCACACGTACCAGGCAAGCATTCTACTACTGAGCCACAATCCGTTGTATTATCATCTTAATACATTTTAACTTGTTTGTAATAGATTACATCTTTAATCTATCTTCTGGCTGTATATTTCTGACATGGTTTTATTGCCTCTAGCTATATTGTCCAATATGGTAGGCCCTGGCAATGTGTGGCCTTTTAAATATAGATCAATTAAAGTTAAATTAAAAAAAATTACCTCTTCACTTGAACTTGCCACATTTCAAGTGCTCAGAAGCTGCGTAAGGCAAGTAGCTACCACTTTGGACAGTACAGATATAGATAATCTCTCTCTCTTCTTTTTTGTGGTAATAGGAGTTAACCCAGGGATGCTTTACCACTGAGCTTCATCCACAGCCCTTTTTTAAAAAATTTGAGTAAGGGTCTCATTAAATTGCAGAGGCTTGAATTTAGGATCTTGGTGCCTCAGCCTCCCAAGTCTCTGGAATTATAAGTTTGTGCCACTGTTCTGGGCAGATGTGGATGATTTCTATCCCTGTAATTTCTGTTGTATAATGCTCATCTATAAATGTTAATTCTGTTTCTTTTTATGCCCTTTACAATAGTTTTGTATGGGATTTGATATAGAGACTTTTTTGCTCATTTTGTTGTGAGATTAGTTTTTCTTAGTTATTAGAAATTAACATTGCTCCCCCTGCTGTTGATTTTATATGGTGTTAAGAAAATACAATGGCTTGTTGTTTGAGATTTCATTATTGTTCCCTTCCTGCATCTTTTTTTTTATAACCTTAGTGTTTTCTTTTTTTAATATATATATTTATTTTTTTAGTTGTAGATGGCCACAACACATGCCTTTATTTTTATGTGGTGCTGAGGATCGAACCCGGGTCCTGCCCATGCTAGGCCTGCGCTCTACTGCTGAGCCACAATCCCAGCCCCCYTTCCTGCATCTTTATTTGGACCTTCTCTTCCATGGTTTCTGTGTATCTGGCCTCCTCAAGTTTTCAGCGGTTTCTCCTTTCAGTGGAGCTCTGTCCTGAAAGAGAGTCTTGGCTCATGAGTTTTGAGAGATTATACAGAGTGGCTATATCTCCCCAGCCCTTTTCAACTTTACTACTGATGCTTCATGCTCACCTGTTGCTTAGTTGGACAGAAATCATTGAGCCACCTTCCTTTCCATTGAGAAACTATTGTCTGTTTTGGAGTTTTGTTGTTCGAAGGATCTTCACATCCTCTGTTACTTCCCACTACATGACCTCTGCATGTTTGCAGGTCTTATTGTATTTTGTGTCATAGAAATGTCTTCTCATGGAGCTTTGCTGTTTAGTTACTCTGTTTTTGTGGAGTAAATTAGGAAGATTGAACAACTATGAAGCCATTTGTCATCTCTGCAGAAGATTTTAAAAAAAGTATGATAGTGGTATATTTTTTAAAAAGATCTCTCTTATTGATATAAATAAGAGACTTTATAAATAAAACATTATAAATAAGTTATTTGGGAATTGTGTCAAAGTGGAGTATGGTGGAAAGGTGGATGAAATAAGATTGACAACCAGTTGATATTTACTGAATTTGGGTGATGGGAATGTGAGGATTTGTTATATTATTCTTTTTTTGGTTCGTACTTTTTWAAAAAAAATAATTAATAAAAATAGAAGAATGTAATGAAAACGTTAATATTTTCAGTTTTTTATAACAGACTTTCCATTTCTCCCCGTCTTTCTCAATTATTTGTATTACATATATAGAAAAGGACATCTTAACCTTAGTATGTTACATAGATGATACGAGTGTACACACCAGGGCTTGTCATTATATCTTTTCCTTTTCCTATCTGTCATACTCCTCTTCAGAGTTCTTCTCCTTAAAGTTGCAGTTCATTGTCTCTTTTATTCCTTTGGTGTTAAATGTGTTTCACCCACTCCACACAAAAACTCATGTCTCATTCAGCCTTGTTCTTGAATATCTTTGTGCAGTGCATATAATTTTCCTTTCCATCTGAAGGGCTTTTTTTTTTTTTTTTTTTTTACTCAATTAATTTTTAGAGTCTGTAATTCTACCTATTCAGTGAGGGGCTCAATGTTAATTTACATATTATCTTTAATTAGAACAGCATAGTTATACCTTGGCACTTAAAATTGACATTTTGAGCTTCATTTTTTACATGCTACATTCTATATTCATTCCATAGATATCTTTCAATGTCTTCCAAGATGTAATTTTAACATTTATTTTAGAGAACTACTAGCACCTACCTCCTGATGTGGGAGGAACTGAGTGATATACGAAGAGCACTGGACTGGAAAGCTCTTACTTGCCTGGCTCAGAGTGGGTGTTGAGTAGATGTTAGTTTTGCCTTTATTGGTGATATCTTTTTATAATTTAATCACATATTTAGAACATACATGTTTTTAACTTGACTTTGGTAAGAAGCTGTAAAAAATTATCGATATTGTCTTCTACAACAGATAGCAGCTAATGAGCCTCCACCAGAAGGATGTGATTCATTTTTTTCAGTTCATGGAAAGAAGACCTGTGATTTTCATACTTTGGAGACTCTTCTACTTACAGCATCTGAGAGGTAGATTTTGTGTTTTTTAATTTAAGTGTCATGCATTTTTTGTGTCTGTGTGTGTTTTTTTTCCCTGTACTAAGTCTTCCTTCTGATTTTTCTTTTCTATTTTATAGTCTATAGGTGTAAGAGTTTATAGTGTGGATTCTGAAACCAGAGTTACTGGATGTGAATCTTGTTTCCATCACTTAAAATAATTTTGCAAAATGAAGCAAAGTACTATCTTTCCTATTCTCGCTTCAAAATGGAGATAATAACAGTATAAATATTCCTGTTGATTTAGTACTACTGTCTGAGCTATATTAACTAGGCTTTGTCATTAGCTTAGCAGGAATACTGTGTGTATAAAATCYAGTGCCTAAAGTAATAATATTAATGATAATGATCTCTCATGATATTATTAGCTTAAGACAAAGTAAAAGATAATTGCAACCTGATTTTAAAATGAAATTGGTCTGGAGGTATAGCACAGCTCAGTGGTAGAGCTCTTGTTTATTATGCACAAGGCTATAGGTTTGATCCCTGGTACTGTAAAAAAAAAAAAAATCAAAACCAACCTCCACCCCACTAAATTAGGCTTCTTTGCCTAAARAGATTTAGGTTTCTGTAATAAACAGCAATAATAAGTACCTACTTTGCTGTCTGGCGGTAGCAGCAAACCCTCAGTACCTCCTCTAATGCTGCTGTAAATATAATATAGTGGAGGTCTGCTCTATCAGAAATGCTAATGGCATTTTTGGTGGTGTGAATCTCCTTATGGACATTGTGTGCCCAGCTGTGTCTGCCCACCAAATGACATTAGTGCTCTTAGTGAGGTGACAACCACTGTATTAAGTGTATGTTCTAGGTAGCTCAGGGTCAAGTCAAGAACATTCAAGAATGGCTGCATAGTAAAATGGTGCTCTCTTGAGCAAACAAAATTAATAACTTAAAATTCTTTAAAAAACTTTAATCTGTTATAACCATAATGCAGACCTTTATAAAGAGAGCAATGGTGTCTCCTCTTCTGAGAGGCTATAAGTACTTTTCATAATTTGGCATTTATCCTATTAGATTTTTTTCATGGTAAGAGGCATCTTTCCATTTGGTACATTTAGGTGTACCTCAGTGTTTTAAACACAGGCATAAAACTTTTATAAAAATGTCTTACTGATGGTTTTTCCATTTTTTGTTTTTATTTCTTTCTGCTCTTCTAAAAAGGCTACAATGAACAACTTCATTTATATGTCTTTTCATTCTGTTGAATGCATCATAGTAGGGATTAGTAGGTAGTACATTAAGATCTATTAGTATCATGATCACCCTTAGGGATTTTTTTTTTTTAGAAATTTTAAAACGTGAGGAAACAGAAATGTTAGATCCATTAGTGGAAAGACTGTAATAGTTGCAATGGTACAGGAGAGACTTGCTATAATTGGCATCAACTTTGAAGCTTTTTGCAGTATTTGTACTTTGGTTTTTRGACAAAAGAATGATCATTTTTATATGGTAAAAAATATCCTGCAGAGTTAGTACTGAGATTTGGATATGTATTATTTTTCTTGCCTTTACCCCTTCTCTAGGAATTGGTACAATTATTAATCTGTGTTTGTATTTATAGTTAGTATTTATATAATGTATTTTTATTTTTTGTAATCATGAACAAGTCAGGCTTGCACCTGACAATATTCTTACCAAGTGAAGACTAAGAACTGTGATACCATTTATATAAAGATTCTTATAATCTTTACTTAAGTCATTTAGCTATACTTTACATTTTGTACCTTTTTTAATGTTTAAAATCTTTTTTAACTTGATAATTTTGAGCTTTCAATATTTATTTCCAGACCCAAACCTTTGTTGTTCAAAGGAGATCACAGATATCCCTCATCCAATCCTGAAAGCCCAGTGGTGATTTTCTACTCTGAAATTGGCTATGAGAACTTTTCTAATTTCCACCACCAACTTATATCAAAAAGCAATTTAGGCAAAATCAATTATGTATTCAGACATTATTTATCTGTAAGTATTGAATTATTTTTTAATTTTTGTATATTAATTTGCCTTCCATGACCTTAGAACATAAGCTCATAATTTCCCTTTTTATGAAATAACTTAGGAGCTGGGGTTGTGGCTCACAGGTAGAGTGCTTGCTTGCTTAACACATGTGAGGCACTGGGTTCAATCCTCAGCACCACATAAAAATAAATAAACAAAATAAAGGTTTTGTGTTCATCTGCAACTAAAAAAATATTTTAAAAATAATTTAGTTATTTGAACTTCTTTTTGAAAAATCAAATAGATTTTATCARATCTATTATTTGTGCATAGACATTGCCTGGCTTACCTTTTTGAAGAAATATAAAACAATTTTACTAAAAAAGTAGCTTAATAAAGTGTGCATTTTATTTCACAATTAATCATGTAAATGATCTTTGTTAAATTTAATATGGCTGTCATACTATGAAATTGATTCTTTTTTTTTTTTAATTTATTTATTTTTTTTTTTTTTTTTTTTTTTTTTTTATTTATTTTTWTTTTTTTTTTTTTTTTTTTGAGAGAGAGAGAGAGAGAGAGAGAGAGAGAGAGAGAGAGAATTTTAATATTTATTTTTTAGTTTTCGGCAAACTCAACATCTTTGTTTGTATGTGGTGCTGAGGATCAAACCCGGGCYGCACGCGTGCCAGGCGAGCGCGCTACAGCTTGAGCCACATCCCCAGCCCTGAAATTGATTCTTGAATTCAGTTCCTTTACATACCTTTTTTATTTCCCTTTTTGGCACCTTTTCATTTGTAGGAAAAGGAAGATTTCTAAAGAGGTGAAATCAGGCAGAATTGATTTAAAATTAAGCTTTTTGTGACATTTAGCATTTAAAATATTTTTATGTTAAGATTGTTAGCCTTCAAGGTGTGTGTGTAATGATGAGTTTGGTGAACATTGGGTGCTAAATCTGTACAAGTAAAATAAAATTTTAAATGAAAATTTAAATGAGCAGAAACAAATTTATCAAAGTCGAGTTTTTAACAACTTTTCTCCCTCTTTCTTCTTGCTAGACCCATGTTGGTTTTGAAATTTAAACGTCTGAAGGGGCCACGCATGGTTCTGCAAGCCTATAATCCTAGCTTATGTGGAGGTTGGGCAGGAGGATTTCAAGTTTGAGGCTAGCTTGTGCAACTTAGTAAGACCTTGTTTCAAAATGAAATAAAAAGAGCTGGGGATGTAACTCAGGGCTTACATAGCCCTGTGCAATGTCCTATGTTCAAACCTTAGTACAAAACAAAACAAAACAAGTTTAAAAGGACCATCATTTATTAGGATGGTGGTGAGCCTGTGGCATTTTGTTAGCTCATGCCCTGCCAGAAGCACTTAAATTTAGTAAAAAAAAAAAGGGCGAGTGTGGTGGTGCATTCCTGTAATCCCAGCGGCTCAGGAGGCTGAGGCAGGAGGATCTCCTCTTCAAAGCCAGCCTCAGCAAAAAGCAAGGCGCTAAACTAAACTCAGTGAGATGCTGTCTCTAGATAAAATACAAAATAGGGCTAAGGATGTGGCTCAGTGGTTGCGTGCCCTTGAATTCATTCCCATTACCAAAAAGAAAAAAAAATTCAGTAAAAAACATACATATACACATATGGTACTAACAAAGCCCTTCTGGGTTTGAGACCTCACCAGTTTTCAACCCTGCTCTGTATGTAGGTTCTAGAGCTACTTGTTCTCATTCTCCATTTTCTCACATGGTTTAGAATCTTTGCCCTTTCAACTGTCCATTCATCTGATTTTTGCTTCTACATTGGAATTTTAATTCTCACAGTCCTGGAGATGCAATATGTAAAGGAGGCTAGGATTTTCTGGAGAGAGAAACATAAAGTTGTAATTGATTTATTTTTCCAAAAATAGAATGAATATTTTAATGGTAGATAAGTGCTTTTATTACTGTTGGTATGTAGCAAACTCTCTTGAACACACAGTTAATATCCTTAAAAAAATAAGCTAAAGATTTTTTTTTTTTTAAGAAAGGAGAGAGAGAGAGAGAGAGAGAGAGAGAGAGAGAGAGAGAGAGAGAGAGAATTTTTTAAAATATTTATTTTTCAGTTCTCGGCAGACACAACATCTTTGTTTGTATGTGGTGCTGAGGATCCTACCCGGGCCGCACGCATGCCAGGCGAGCGCGCCACCGCTTGAGCCACATCCCCAGCCCCAAGCTAAAGATATTTTAAGTACATGATCTTAAGTGATGTCTAATAGATGCAATGTTAATGATGTACAGTCAAGTGTGCTGTGACCCATAACAAACTTTTTTTTTTTTTTTTGGGCTGTACTGGGGGTTGAACTCTACCACTCTACCACTGAGCTATATCACCAGCCTTTTAAATTTTTATTTGAGAATGGTCTTGCTAATTTGCTGAGGCTGCTCTCCAATTTACTATCTTCCAGCTTTAGCTTCCCGAGTTGCTAGAATTACAGGCGTGTGCCACTGCACCTGGCTTATAACAAGCTAGGTAGTAATGATGGAATACTTGCTTTATCTACAGAATCCCAGAAGGGAGCCAGTTCATCTCTCTGGTTATGGTGTGGAATTGGCCATTAAGAGCACTGAGTACAAGGCCAAGGATGATACTCAGGTGAAAGGTGAATTTGTAAAATTAAGACCAATGTGTTTTCTTTAAATATGAACTAAAAGGGAATTTGTTTCCATATGAAAAAGAACAGATTTAGGAGTCATTACTGCTGTTTTCTTTGTCCAATAATTCTTTGGAGGTTGACCTTAAAACAGCTTCTCTAGGTCCTGTAAATGCAGGTGATGACAGTATTCTTCTTTAAGTATTTTGGATGAATAAATAAGTAAAGAATTTAGCATAGTTTTTTGCACAGAAAGTTTAATAAATATTAGTAGTAGCTGTTTTTTTGATGTTATGATTTGCAAATAACCGTTAATTTGTGATTACAATGTGAAATTTTAAATATACTTTAATGAACAGTTTTATGTTCCTTATTATTTTCTCAAATGGTTTACTCTGAATTTTTCTTGTTCTAATTTTGTGGGATTTTGAAATCATTATTTCAACCACAAGTTTTACATGCTGTCTTTTTTTCTTTTTAAGCATAAAAGTTACCAGTTTGGGTAGTGAAGCAAGTAGAAAATAGCCTCGTACTCATTTTGGCTTTTCAATAATTATATTTAGGATTAAGTTGCCTAATTGCAGGTTCTTCAGAATTTTGATTTTGAAGAACCCTTTGTTCATAATATTAAAAAGCTGTTAATTTTGAAATTCTGGCATCTGAAATTTTTTACAGTTTATGGGAAAAATATTCTTTTTGATCACAGGAAATGTTTTTTTTTTTTCCCTAAAAAAATCTTTATTTAATATTTAAAGAACAATGCATAGAAATGCAAGTTATGTAATAGCTATCTTAGACAACCTTTATAGAATTATGAGAATAGATACTAACATTTCAACAGATTGCTTTAATGTTAAACTTCCTAATGAAGATGGGATACTTGTTTAAGAAAATAATGCATATGTTAGTGTAATGTAAAGGAAGTTTAATACACATAAACAAAAGATAAAAATAGCAATTTCCTACAGACTGGTTACTTCAAAATATGCTACTCAAAAACTGCTTTTCAAACCTGAAAGACATGTCTTGCCCTATCAAAAAAGAATGTTCTGTCACAAAAATGGATTGTGGACATGTTTACTATTAGAAAATATTTAAAACCCATTTATAATTGACTAGAAAAAGTAATTAAAACAAAAATCACAGGAAATGTTAAACACATTTTTTTAAAGACATTGCAAAATGTTAATTGGGGTATTTACATTTTAAATGGTTTTATTTCAGGTGTTTCTGACTTTTATTTTTACATTACTCAAATTTTATCAAATTATAACATTTGTATTTCTAATCTGAACCATTAGACATATATTTACTGTTTTTATAGGAACTGAGGTAAACACTACAGTAATTGGTGAAAATGATCCTATTGATGAAGTTCAGGGATTCCTCTTTGGAAAATTAAGGTATGTATGTATATTCTATTTATTTCTAAAATGTCCTTTATTCTCTTTAAATCTTCAGAGTTCCTTGCATTCCTGGTGTCATCTCTTTCATGATTATTTAAGTATAGATCTAATAGCACTTTATATTTGTAGTCTAAACTGGAGAAATGCCCACTTTGCTTCTAATTAAAAGTGAGCAATTATCAGTTATTGTGAAATTTGTTAATTTTATTTATTTATTTATTTTGCATTACTGGGGATTGAACCCAGAAGTGCCCTACTATTGAGCTACCTATTTGTTTTATTTTGAGATATGTCTCAGCAAGTTTCTGAGGCTGGCCTTGAACTGGAAATCTTCCTGCCTCAGCCTCCTGAGTAGCTGGAATGACAGGTGTGTCCCATCACACCTGACTAAATCTCTTTTTTCTTAAATGACCTGCCTATAGCTTCAGTTAATTTTCTTTCCCTCTCAGTTAATGGAATAAAGTTAAATACCAGTTTTTGATTGAATAATAGGGTGAACCAAATTGTTTTATTTAATTTTTTCTCATAGATGGGTGTTTAACTTGGAGTGATTGTAGTTATTTGCTTATCCTAAACATAATCTGAAAAAAAGTAAAAGATGTATAATAGATTTTGTACTTGCTCAATTAAAATACATTTTATTAGACTAGGCTTTATGAAAGGGGAGAGAAATTTTTTATTTATTTTATTTTTTTGTACTGAGGATTGAACCCAGGGGTGCTTATTCATTGAGGCACATCCTTAGCCCTTTTTTTTATTTTTTATTTTGAGACAAGGTCTCACTGAGTTCTTAGGAACTTGGTAAGTTGCTGAGGCTGTCCTGGAACTTGCTATCTTCCCGTCTCTGTCTCCAGAGTGTTTGGGATAAGGCTTGCACCACCATTTTCAGCTAGAAAATATTCTCTTTTTTTTCATACTGGGGATTGAACTCAGGGTCACTCAACCACTGAGCCACATCCCCAGCCCTATTTTGTATTTTATTTGCTTAGCACCTCACTTTTGTTGAGGCTGGCTTTGAACTTGTGATCCTACTGCCTCAGCCTCCCAAGCCACTGAGTTTTACAGGCATGTGCCCGGCAAGAAAATATCCCCCCCCCCCCCCCCCGCCTTTTTTTTTTTTTTTTTAAAGAAATGTAAGCAGGGCAGGGGATGTGGCTCAAGTGGTAGCGTGCTCGCCTGGCATGCTAGCGGCCTGGGTTCGATCCTCAGCACTACGTACAAACAAAGAAAGATGTTGTGCCCGCCAAAAACTAAAAAAAAATAAAAGATTAAAAAAAAAATTCTCTCTATCCCTGTCTCTCACTCTCTCTTTAAAAAAAAAAAAAAAGAAATGTAAGCAATTTTTTAAAACATTTTTTTAGTTGTAGATGGACACATATCTTTATTTTATTGTTTATTTATTTTTTAAATAAATGTAAGCTTTTTAAAAAATATACCTTTATTTTATTTATTTATTTTTATGTGGTGTTGAGGATCGAACCCAGGGTCTCACATGTCTGAGGCAAGCACTCTACTGCTGAGCCACAACCCTAGCCCTGTTGTTTATTTTTTATGTGGTTCTGAGTATTGAACCCAGTGCCTCACATGTGCTAGGCAAACGCTCTACCACTGAGCCACAGCCCCAGCTCCTAGAAAACATTCTTCTTCTTCTTCTTTTTTTTTTTTTTTTAAGTTGTAGACAGACAGAGTATCTTTATTTTTATTTGGTGCTGAGGATCGAACCCAGTGCCTCACGTGTGGGAGGCAAGCCCTCTACCACTGAGCTACAGCTTTAGCCCCTCCTAGAAAATATTCTTTAAAACAAACAAAAAAATTTTTTGTGTTTATTTTTTTAGTTGTAATTGGACATAATACCTTTATTTATTTACTTAATTATTATTATTTTTTTATGTGGTGCTGAGGATCAAACCCAGGGCCTTGCATGTGCTAGGCAAATGCTCTACCACTGAGCCACAACCCCAGCCCCTAGAAAATATTCTTAATGATAGTATTTAAAGTTTCACAATTCCAAACCATTTTTATGAAAACATCGTAGTATTTTATAAAGAAAATAAAATAATGTCTTCTTAGACATTATTTTATCCTACTATTTATTTATTTTGGTTCTGGGAATTGAATCCAAGGGCATTCTACTACTCAACTACATCCCCCGCCTCTTTTTTTAAACTTTTTATTTTAAGACAGGCTCTCACTGAGTTGCCCAGGCAGGCCTTGAACTTGGGATCCTCCTTTAGTTTCCCAAGTCATTGGGATTTCACCCATGTGYCACTGTGCACATCTTCTAGAACCTCTTTCAAGGGAATAAATCCCATTTATGAAAGTTCTGCCCTCGGGCTGGGATGTGGCTCCAGTGCGTGCCTGACATGCGTGCGGCCTGGGTTTGATCCTCAGCACCACATACAAACAAAGATGTTGTGTCCCCCGAAAACTAAAAAATAAATGTTAAAATTCTCTCTCTCTAAAAAAAAAAAAGAAAGAAAGTTAGTTCTGCCCTCATGATTCAATCACCTTCCAACGGCCCATCTGCTAATACTGTCACATTAGGGGTTAAGATTTCAACATGAACTAAGGGTATGGTGGGAACAGTCCATCAGTCTGTATGCATCATCTATAGATTCAAGATTAAAAAGGCATAATCAATTATCTCTCTCTTTTTTGAAGAAAAAAGAGAGATAAGTGTCACAGTAGAATGGGTAGAGAGAGGTGATGGGAGGGGAGGGGAGGGGAGGGGAGGCGGGGGATAGGGAGGGCAGCAGAATACAACTGACACTAGGATTACTGTATGAATACACATGGATGTATAACCAATGTGATCTTGCAATCTGTACATGTGGAAAAATGAGAATTCATACCCTATTTGAATCAAATGTATGATATGTCAAGATCATTGTATTGTCTTGAGCAATTAATAAAAAAAAAATTTCGCTACAGAAAAAAGGGAAGAAAATACCCTCCCCCCCCAAAAAAAAAAAAAAAAAAAAAACGGCATATCAAAACTGGATATGGTGGGGCTGGAATTGTGGCTCAGCAGTAGAACTAGCCTAGCACTTGTGAGGCCCTGGGTTTGATCCTTAGCACCACGTGAAAATAAATAAAATAAAGGTAATGTGTCCAACTACAACTAAAATATAAATATCTTAAAAAAAAACAAAACTGGATATTGTGGTGTATACCAATAATCCCAGCACTACAGAGGCTGGGTCAGGAGGATCCCTTGGGTTGTTTGGAAGGTGAGGGATCTGAGAGAATATTTTAATTTCTTCATTTTGCATTTAAGAAATTTTAAGTTTCTAGCTGGACTCACTCATATAATTCCAGCTCTTTAGGAGAGCTGAGTCAGGAGGATCACAAGTTCAAGTTCTACCTTGGGGATTTAGGAAGACCCTCTCTCAAAATAAAAAAATTTAAAAAAAGAGTTGAGCTTGTATCTTGGTGATTAGAGAAGGCTAGAGTACCTCTTGGTTAGGGGAATTGAGTTTTTAGCACTTAACAGAACATAATCTCCCAGCCATAAGTCTGTCTGACATAAATGTTACATCTCTGTCTCTGATAACTATTTCAGTAGCTTTAAATGGATTGTACTGTATTTCAGTATAAGAATTCATAATTGATTAGACAATTTATCACTATATATAGGCTGGAGGAAATTCATCTTGGGACTGGAAGAAATTTTTACCCAATTTTCTTTGAGAAATTAAAAAGATCTAGAAAAGTATAGAGAATAATATATACCCATACAACTCACCGCCCAGAATTGATTGTTGGTATGCTTGTTTTTGTATTCCAGAGAACTACTTTGTAAAGTTTTCTTTTTTTCCAAATCCTAATATAAGACTTCTTTTACTTAAAAATAAAACAGTTCCAGTAAAAAACTACAGGTAAAGTTGAAGGCTCCATTTTTTTCTTCAAAAAAGAAACTCCTAGTTTCACTAACTTCTGCTATAGTTGGGAATCCCTATTATAGTGCTTTATATTTCAATGTGTAAATTTTACGGTGGTTGAACTAACTGATTTCCTATCTTATTTTTAGAGGAATATAATTGTACTGTAATTTTTTTTACCTGTATCCAAGAAGGTTTTTTAGAGTTGAGAGGGGGAAATTGTGAAGTTGGAGTCCTTGTACAAGTGTACTTTGAGAGAGAAAAAACAATTGAGAGGAAAGGACTGATTTTATATTTCTTTCAGAGACTTACACCCTGACCTGAAGGAACAGTTGAAAGAACTCAGAAAGCATCTTGTAGAGAGTACCAATGAAATGGCACCTTTGAAAGTTTGGCAGTTGCAAGGTGATGAAAATTTAGAGAGATCGTTTCTGTCCTTATTTTATAAATTTTGTTGTATTAAATGCAGAATTTGATTGAATGTATTCACATAATTTTAAGATTTTAAAGACCAAGCAGGTATGATTAATTGACAAGAAAGCAAGTCCTTTTGTAGACAGAGAACATTAGGCCTTAAGTACAACATAAATGAATGTCAGATCTTTCAGTGACCAGACGTATAAGCTTGAATGTCAGAAATATGTATCTTGTCTTTATGTTCTTATATGTGTAGTTTTTTGTTTTTGGTAATACAGAGGATTGAATCTGGTAGTTGCTACGCAAGGACTCTATCATTCAACTACAACTCTCATTCCCCATTCATTTCTTAAAATATATACCTATATAATGTGAAGGAATGTAGGGGGTAGAACATGTGTGTGTACTTTTCTGTTCTGAAGAGCAAGTTACCAAGCCCCCCCCCCCCAATGTAATTTACTAAATGTCTTAATGTTATATTGTGTGCTATATTGTAAATTCAGAAGAAGGAAAAGAATTTGGGCTTAATTTAGCCTCTTCTAAAGGTGTTAGTATGTGTCCTAGTGTTTTATTACAGAAAGATAAGGATTGGCTCAGTGAACACTCTGGGGATCCATGAGGTGGGAAACCTGAAATTGCACCATGGGCACTTTTTGGATTGGTTGCATTCTATGACATTCTTTATTATCAAGAAAATAGTGGGAAGAAAAGGTGGTTTTTATGTGCTTCTCATTGTGTTAGGCTAATACCTTCTAACTTGTATCTGGCATTGTTGCAGACCTCAGTTTCCAGGCTGCTGCCCGAATCTTGTCTGCTCCTGTGGAGTTGGCTTTAGTGGTGATGAAAGATCTTAGTCAGAATTTTCCTACCAAAGCCAGGTAACATCGAGTAAGACTTTGATATGTTCTTCTTATTCTTAGTGATATACCAATTATCTTCATATTTACATGCTAAATGACATAAGTAAACTTTGAAAATGCTTAGAAAATATAAAATTTTATTCATCATCACTATTGTGAGTGGAACCCTCTTTGTGAGAAGAGAACAAGATCATGCATGGTGTGGTTGACAGATGTAGGCAACATTCTTGGCTATTTACTAGTTGAAGTGACTTTGCAAATGAACAATTTCTATTTACATCACTATCTCAATGATAGAGTGGGAATAACAATACCTGCCTTTTAGAATTGAGTGAGTCACAGAGTATAGCATATGCTGATGTTACTAATCTAGAGTGTGCCACAGACCATGGCTTTCTCAGGGGTTGTACGTGTGTCATCTCATCGAATCTTGAAGAAGAAACTGAGTCAGGGAGATGAAGTGACTTGTTAATGGTGACAGAATAAGTTTTTTTTTTTTTTTTTTTTTAGATTGTGCTGAGGATCAAACCCAGAGCCTTATGCATGCGAACCAGGTGCTCTAACACTGAGCTATCGCCCAAGAATAACATTTTGATTTTTTGTTAACATTGCTTTCTATTATTAAGATTATTTAAAATTGTTTTAAAAGCCAAATTTTTAGAAAGCATTGAGATAAATGGTTGCCTGCTTCTTTCTTGAGTCACTGCAGTGTTTTGACTTTTGATGTGAGATGTTTTATAAATAAATTTGTTTTTTACTTAAGTGTTGTTGGTCTGGCATCCTACTTGAAGATAAAGATGGAGAATTCCACCTTCACCATAAGTGCTTAAAAAGGATGCACAATCTGCTGCCTTAGTTATTTAATATTATCTTTTAGTCTGTGAGCAGTAGAAATCATATATAGGAGCATGGTACACATTTAAGAACTTGGAAACAACTCCACTTGTTTTATTTATTTATTTTTTTTTTGAGATTTTTCAATATTTATTTTTTAGTTCTCGGCAGACACAACATTCTTGTTGGTATGTGGTGCTGAGGATCGAACCCGGGCCGCACGCATGCTAGGCGAGCGCGCTACCGCTTGAGCCACATCCCCAGCCCACACTTGTTTTAAAATACTGCTATTTGCTTCTTTTTTTTGTTTGTTTTGTTCTGTTTATTTATATTTTATTTGTTTTTCAGTACTGGAGATTGAACCCAGGGCTTTGTGCATGCTAGGCAGGTGATATATAGTGATTTAAAATTGGACATGTATGAGAGTAGAAGTATGTTTATCAATTGTATAGGTTTAAAATTTTGTTCATTTTTTGTAATTTATTGAACAATGTGTTTTATAATTAGAAAAATAGAAACTGAAGATTTGTCTATTGTGAGCACTGATAATGATTTTGTTCCTTAGAGCAATAACGAAAACAGCTGTGAGTTCGGAGCTTCGAACTGAAGTGGAAGAGAATCAGAAGGTATTAACCATTGGAAAACATTGACTGTTTTGTATTGTACCTTTCAAGAAGTCTGAGTTTAATCAGTAGCATTTAATACTGCTACTTTTCATTTATCAAGGATGGTGATATTTTGTTCATTTCTATCTTATGTTTTTAGTTTTTGACCAAAATTGAATATGAATGTACTTGAAAGATCAAGTGGTTCAAAAAATAAAAATAAAAAAAAAAATAAAAAAGATCAAGTGGTTCTACCACATTATTTAAAAAACAGCATTATCTGATGTTTCACCCTGTTGAGTTCCTAACATGTTCCCTAACAGCATTTCATACTATGTTTACCTCTTCTTAGAGCATCCACTTTCAACTTTTATCTTCAGATTTCTAGTATGCCTAAGTTGGTATTTTATTTTTTAGCTTTCTATTTCAAGGATGATATTTATCTTTCTTCCACTGTCAACCCCTTAATGTGCCATTACTTCTCCATATTGGTACTTGTCCCATTTCGTCAGCCTTCCCTATTGCAATTTTATCCAGTTTTGATCACTCAAATTTGGATAAGTTGCTTTTTATGTCAAATGTGTACAAGGCATCCTGGGGCTTTCCTTTAACCGCTYTTCTTGGGTTCCATGTCTTCTTTGTTTTTCCTCTCTTATTTTGATACAGTATATCCTTCTATATGAGAAAGTTGCAAGGGAGGTCAATTTTAACCTTTGTAACATAAATTTTTCACTCGTTTTTATTGATCGGATGCTAGGTATGTGGCTTTAGATTGGGAGTCAATTTAGAAGTTTGAAGGATTACTTCTTGAAATTTTAATGTCCATTGTGGTCGTCGAGAAGTTTGAAGCCTTTATTTGAGACCTCTTTATGCTTCCTGGAATTATTTGGAACTTTTTTTTTGACCCTAGTAATTTGAATAAACTGATTGGAAGCCTTAAGGATGAGACTTTTTTACTATAGGGTGTTCTGGTGTGGCCATTTCCTAGGGTACCCTGATTTGTAGAGACTGCCCAGGCCTATCAGATTCTTAGTGCTTTGCACTTCAATATGAGCAGTTAGCCACTTATCACTAGACACCTGAGGAAAGCCTCCAATACCAAAGACAAGAGACTGACATCCCAAACAGGCTGCTTTAGAGGAAGTGAGCTGGGCACCGTAGTCCAGCCACTAGAGAGGCTGAGGCAGGAAGTTCATTTGAGCCCAGAAATTCAAGGTGAGACTAGACAACATAGCAAGGCCCTGTCTAGAAGAAGTGGGGGTGGAAACAAAAACAACAAAAAGAAGAGGAAGTAGGCATCGCAAAGAGAAGAAAACAAAGGCACTCTTTTCATTCTCAGAGAGCCATGAGAATACCAGCAAAGAAGAATTCAAGAGCATGAAAAACTCCTGGAATTTAAAAATTTGACAGCTGTAGGAAAACTCTCATCAAAGAGACTGATCAGTCTCCAGAAGATTTGTGAATTTTCTGCCTGGAGGGTATAGTCTGGCTGCCAGGGTTATAGAAACCTGGTAGGGAAGAGCATTTGGAAACATCTTCAATCTCCCATTTTCAACAGGGACCCCTGTGCTTATCTAATTTCCCACAGCCCACGGATTCTCTGTTTTGCTCTTTCCAGGCCATGAGCCTCCATTTTTCTGGAGTATAGGGTTCAGTGACAATAGTCACCTGGCTGTGTGGGATCAACAGGAGGGCCATGTCTTTTTTTTTGGAGAGAGAGAGAGAGAGAGAGAGAGAGAGAGAGAATTTTTAGTATTTATTTTTTAGTTTTCGGCGGACACAACATCTTTGTTTGTATGTGGTGCTGAGGATTGAACCCGGGCCGCACGCATGCCAGGCGAGCGTGCTACCGCTTGAGCCACATCCCCAGCCCAGGGCCATATCTTAAAGAGGCTTTCTGCCGACCTCTTTTATACATCTGTCCTTTGGGCTGTGAATTCTTGAGTCTTTGGGTGCTCCACAGAGTAACTTGGGTTTCTTATTGACTTTTCCTACCTTCTACCTAGCAATAAGCTTTCTTGGAATTGCTAGTCCAGTTATTACTTACCCCTTTCCCTTCGGCTTCCAAAATTTGTTGGCCTTTTTCTTTTCTGTTCTTTTTGCCCTGTGAACTCATAACTAAAAAAGGTTCTTTTCCTGTCTTTTCAGTACAGTTTCAGGAGGGAAAAAAATACTTGTGTTCAATTCACTGCCTTTACACCAAATTTCCTTAACTTTTATGTGTAGGATACTAATTAATTAAATAGTTCTGAGAAATAAGCAAACCAAGTATTTCTCAAATATTGACTGAATTGACAAAACTATTTAATTCAAATTTCCAGAATAATAATATCAAATATTACTTAGGCTTTCCCCCACCAAGAAGACAGAACATTAAATTGTGCAAGATATATTGGTGTTTCCTGGGTTCTTATTGCTTTTGAGTAAAACATTTTATTAAAACATAAAGTACATAAAAAATGCATCCCAAAGTATAAAACATACAAAAATGTGCCCAGATCCCGAATCTTCAGTTTGATTAATTTTCCCAAAGTAAACTCACCTGTGTTACTAGTGTCCAGATCTAGAAACAGATATAAACTGTATTTACCAGCTGAGAATCAGTTTTTCTGACTCCGGAATAAGTGGACATGTGTAGTTCTTCTCTCCCATGGAAGAAATGCCAATTCTCTCTCTCTCTCTTTTTTTTTTTTTTTTAAAGAGAGAGAGAGAGAGAGAATTTTAACATTTTATTTCTTAATTTTCGGCAGACACAACATCTTTGTTTGTATGTGGTGCTGAGGATCGAACCCGGGCCGCGTGCATGCTAGACGGCCGCGCTACCGCTTGAGCCACATCCCCAGCCCCGAAATGCCAATTCTCAATTGATGCAACTCTGCATTGTCCCCTTACCCCCCTTTTTTTTTAAATTGGCAAGTATGTATTCGTGGTATACAACCCAATATTTTGRAATATATGTGTATTTTAATATTATCCCCTTATCTTGCTTACTGCTTAATCCTGATGGCCATGAAGCAACAGCTATGGCTTCCTCATTGTTTTGTTCTTTTCCCATGTGACACTAGATCTTAAAAGTATATTTTTTCGGGCTGGGGATGTGGSTCAAGCGGTAGCGCGCTCGCCTGGCATGCGTGCGGCCCGGGTTCGATCCTCAGCACCACATACCAACAAAGATGTTGTGTCCGCCGAGAACTAAAAATAAATAAATAAATATTAAAAAAAAAAAAGTATATTTTTTCTTAGTCTGCTGACAGTTAGTGGAAGGGAGCTCAGTGGTTCCCTGTCCAGCTGTAGGTTCCTAAGGGATTAAGTTTTGCTTCTGGTATCTAGTTTCTTCTGGTTTCCACTATGTGACTCAGTTTCCTGTGGTATAGAATATACCAATAATAGTTTCTTTTGAGAGAAAGAAGAATTGAATGGAAGAGTCATTATTAACAGATACTTCAACATGAAATCAGAGCAATTTCCATTGGCTCAGGCAAATCAGGGACTGCATAGCCACCTGAGTGCAGGGCCATCAGCATCTGGGGACTGGCAGGTGAAAGACAGCATGGATGCCAGATCTAGGCAGCAGGAGGCATTGTTGTCCCCAGCACAGCAGCTTAGTTTTTTGGTGTGCCTTGGTTTGAAGGAAACCCTTTTTGGTGTGATCCCTGAACTTCATCAAGAGGGTTCAGCTGTTATTATTGACTGCTGTCACAGCCTTAATTGATATCACAGATGGGGAAAACAGCAGAAATGTAAAAAAGATAAGGGTAGAAAGCTTGCCCACTATTGTTTGGCACTGGTGAACAAAAGTAAGAGTCTTTGGGTGCTCCACTGAGTAACTTGGGTTTCTTGTTGACTTTTTTTTCAGACAGGTTTTAGAATTTCCCTTATCATCATTAGAATGAAGGAAGGAGGAAATGGAAGAAAGGTGTATGTCCTATGTATCAGCACTTTCATTTTATTATATTGAATTCAAAGAAGATGTGTGAGAGTATATGGAAGGAAATCTTAACCCTGCCTTAGAATATCAAGATTTGTACAGACAGTAAACCCCAGCAATGCAGAAGGGTTTGTTCAACACTCTCTCACCATTCTCTAATAATTTCCTTTTTCTTTTTCAGTATTTTAAGGGAACTTTAGGATTACAGCCTGGAGACTCTGCTCTCTTCATCAATGGGCTTCATATTGATTTAGATACACAGGATATATTCAGGTACAGATGATATTCTTTTTCTCATTTTGTAAGTTTTTATAATGTCTATGTAGCTCCTTGTGATGTGTTCAGATTGTTGTCCCTTCTTACTGTGGCATGAGGCAAAGACAATTTACCAGGCTGTACTCCCCAACCCCAAGGGTGTGGAGGTGGGCCCATGCTGTCCCTGGGGTGGACATTGTGATCTAGTGCCATCTTGTAACATAATGCATGTTCAAGGATTCTGTTTTTCAAGGATGCCCTTTTAGAGCTAAAGTTTACCTGTTAAGGATAGCATCAGAAAAGACCTCTTGCTTTTGGAATAGTGCGAAGGGGTTTATTCAAAATGCTGTCTCTGAAGGCATTATTATTTGAAAACCTACTTTTTTGTTATTCTTAAAATGTAGTTTAAAACTATTTAGCCCCAAATTATCTTTATGATTTTGGTTGGAGGGGGTAGTCAGGTAGAATTCAGATTTTTTCCTTGGAATTAAAATCAAGACAGTTGTCACTGGCTTTCTAATTGCAAAAATAAAAGTAATTGTTAATACTTCAGAAGTAGTTTACACAATAAAATATTTTCATATTAATTATTTTAATTAAACATTTATGCCTATTTATTGCATTATGGAGCTAGTGATAAGTCAGTTAAATGGATATGAATACTTTAAAAAATTGTTTTCATTGAATGGTTTATTAAAAACATATACAGTCCTTTTTAGTATATTAAAATGGTGTACTTGCTCATTAAAACCAATGCAAAATAATACAGAGATAAGGGAACTAAGAAGTAAAATTTCATCCCATCTTATTTCATCCAACTCCCTTTCTTCTTCCCCAGCAATTCTCCAGACTTTTTTCTGTGGTCATGTGTGTGTGTGTGTGTATGTGTATACATGCCTGTGTCAATTAATATTGATATAAACATTAAAGATATATAATTTAGTATCTTTGTAGTGTTTTTTTTAAACTTTATTTTGAGATAATTGTAGACTCACATGCAGTTGTTAGAAATAATGCAGGGAGGCTAGTGTACTGTTTTTAAAAACATGCAGTGTAGTGTAGATTTAGAGTTATTTCATCCTCAAATTGTATTTATACTTAGAGATAATCTATATATACACTGAGAAGTGTAAATAAATAGGAGCCAAGAAACATGTTCTACTCCTCCTGTCTGCACACTTTGATGGGATAAAACAAGGGGAAAAGTTCCCTTGTTGAGTTTCTCAGTTTAATTTGGCACTGAGTTTGACCTGATGAATCTTCTTTTCTTCCCCCCCCCCCCCMCAGCAAGGATCTAAATTTTTCTTACTAAATACCTAAGTTTGCTTTTTAAATTTATTTTCCCCCCTAGTTTGTTTGATGTATTGAGGAATGAAGCCCGGGTAATGGAGGGTCTGCACAGACTGGGAATAGAAGGCATCGCTCTGCATAATATTTTGAAGCTGAACATCCAGCCTTCTGAGGCCGACTATGCTGTAGACATCAGGAGTTCTGCTATTTCAGTGAGTATTCCTTTAAGGTATCAAGGGGCATTCTAGTCAGGCATCTTAATTATCTAATTTGTCTTTTTTGAGAGTTCAGCTATTCCCACCATCTTTTGTGTTGCCATCATGGATTTGCAACTGTTTATGTGGAACTATGCATATACTACAAAGTAGCTCTTAAATGCTCCTAAAAGTTGAGTTATTGTCACTGCTTTGGTTGATAATGATCTCTGTCTACATTGTATCCCTAGGATTCAGCTGAGCACCTCTCAGGAAGGAGAGTCTAGTTTGTGTTTTATCAGCTACATACAGTCCTATGAGATTTTGTGGCAATGTGTGTGATTTAAAACTGCTAAATAATTCACAATTTTGGAGGGTGGGAGGGCTAGGGAAGAATAGAGTTACTTTAGATTAGGTAGAAGGGAGTGAAGGGAGGGGATGGAGTATGGGAGTATGAAGGATAGTAGAATGAATCAGGCATTATTTCCCTATGTACATATATGACTATATGACTGGTGTAATTCTACATCATGTACAACCAGAAGAATGAGAAATTATACTCCATTTATGTATGATGTATCAAAGTGCACTCTACTGTCATGTGTAATTAGAACAAATGAAAAAAACTTAAAAAAGTATGTTGTTTAGTAACCTTCCTTTCTGGTACTTTATTTATGTGATCTCTCTGAGCCTTTGTCACCTTTAAGAAAGAATGTGGGGAGTAGTGTCATCGTAGGTGGTCATGGTAATAATAAGATTGGAGTAGACCTCATATGGCTAGTACATCTTAGCACCCTAGGAATTTTGATAGAAAAAACTGTTACGTATTTTCATGAATTCTGTTATGGCATTTGTTTTTATGATTTAAATGTTTTACTTGTATTATGAGTAAAGAAAATAACATAAATATGACATATTTGTTAATAAAGGGGTTAACAACTATATGAGCCATCTATATACTTTCTAAATAATCATTTTGTGTCAAATCTCTGGGAAAAAATATTTCAGTTATTTCCCTTCCCAGTTTCACTTGTTTCCTCTATGAAAGTAATTATTCTCTGTAGTTGATATGCATTCCCCTGTCCCTTATTTTATTATGTTATTTCTTACTAAATATTTTAAATATTTGGATAGTCTGTTCCCCTATCGTTGTCCTTCATCAGCTTCCTTTTTTAAGCAAGTTTTTTCAAGACTTGTAGGTTGATGTTGATACATAGTTTTTTATATCATATTTTATGTTTTACTTTTTTAAAGAAAATCTTTTATACATTTTTAGTTTTAAAATGTAAAAGCTTTATGTAGTGTAAATCGCTATCCAGCCATCAGTTTTCTTCTCAGAGTCAGCAAGGATCAGCATTTAACTTACATCCTTCCAGAAATACTCTATGCATCCATGAACAAGGAAATAACACATAATTCCTTCACCCCTACTCTTTTTAAAGAAATGATAGGTACATAGATACATACTGTTTGTTCATTGTTTTCTCTATGGATATTAAGTTATTTCTAATTTTACTATTGAAACAGTGCTTTAATGGCTCTTTTTGTACATCTTCCCTTGAGCATGTGCATGTGAAATGTCTTTGGGGTAGATAACCTAGATCTGGAGTAATTAGGGGTAGGGTATGAATCAAGTTTTCAGCTTTATTAGGTCTGTTTCTCTAAAGTGAATGTTCCAGACGTCAGCATTGGGTGAGAGTTCATATTGCTGTACATTTTTGCCTGTTCTTGGATATTGACAAAGTTTGAATTTGTTTTCAGTTTAATGAATGAACTTTCATTGTTGTTTTAGTTTATATTTCCCAGATTACAATTGAGGGTATATGCTTTCCTTGTATTTATTGCCCATTTGGATTTCTTCTGTAAATTACTTTCATATTCTTGACACATTTCCTTTGAATTGCTTGCCTCTTTTTTTTTTTTTTTTTTTTTTTTACTGGTATTTCATGACTCTAGCCCTTTATTGTTTTTATTGGCTGAAATAATTTTATTTATTCTGTGGCTTGTCTTTTAGGCACTTATTTTTCTACTTGATTCTTATGTCTTTGAAAAGGGTCTTGTTCCGTGTAATTCTTCTCAAAATAAAGTCTTAACTGCAATTTTAGTAACTAGTGACTAAAGTATATGTGCCATGTTGTGTTATTTTTTTCTAGTGGGTCAATAACCTGGAGGCTGATAGCAGATATAATTCATGGCCTTCTAGTCTACAGGAGTTACTTCGACCTACCTTTCCTGGTGTTATTCGGCAGATTAGGAAAAACTTGCATAACATGGTAAATGAAACTTCTACTTATTGTTTGCCTGTGAACTTTGTTTCTCCCTTCCCCTCTTCCTATCTTTTTGTCCTTTACTAGTTGCTTCCCCACAACTACTACCATCACCAGTTCAACTTCTTGTTCAAACAGAAAGGGCTTTGGAATGTATGGATCTTTTATTGTGCTGAGATGCTACATCAGCATTGCAGCCTGTATCAGTGTGTGAGGAAATGCTCCGCATGTGTAACACAAAGCTTTAGATTTAGGCTACATCATTTTAGTTTTTTGTTTGTATTTGTTTTTGCAGTGCTTGGGGATTGAACCAGACCTCACATATATGAGTCATACATTCTGCCATGGAGCTCCAGCTCCAGCCTCTGGTTTAGTTAACACTATTTTTTAAGAGCAGTTTTATGTTCATAGCAATTTAAGTTTTAAGACAGTTCTCCTTTTGACTTAGAAGATGCATATTACTACTGGTTTTCTTTAATATCTTTTTTTTTTTTTCTGGCAGTACTTTCGATTGAACCCAGGGTTGCTCAATAACTGAGCTACACACCCAGCCCCTTTTATTTTATTTTGAAACAGGAACTTGTTAAGTTGACCAGGCTGGCCTTGAACTTACAATCCTTCTGCCTCAGCGTCCTGAGTGCACCAGGATTACAGGTGTGTGCCATCACACCCTACTGTTTTTTTTTTTTTTTTAAAGTATATTAATTTCTTAAATTTAGTGATTCAGTGTAATCCCTTAAATAGGTCCTTTCATCAGCTTCTACTTATTGTTCCTCATTTCACTGCTTTAGAGAAATTGAGCTAGAGGGTACTTAGCTGGTCCTCTTTTTCCCTTTCATTTTTTTCTTTGAAAGTGGGGCCAGTTGGTGCTAGAGTGGGCTTCTTTAGAGCCTTTGGGGAACCTGCCTGTTGTATTTTTCTCACTCTTTAAACTATATTTTTCCTTCCAAAATTTTGTTCTTCCTTTTTTATGGAGAAAGAACTTTACTAAATAATAGAGTATGTGTAAGTTGCTTAGCACCTAAGTGCTCAATGTTTATGCAATAGCTGTTATTGTGGTCTAAGACTTGAGTTCTAAACAAATTCTTAATTCAGAGATCCTAAGCTGATGTGGTGGGGCATGCCCAGCTGCTGGGGAAATTTAGGCAAGAGCATCACTTGAGATCAGCTTGGGCGGCATAGAAAGACTCCATCACAAACAACAAAAAACAACCAAACAACAAGGGGAGAGAGAGAGAGAGAGAGAGAGAGAGAGAGAGAGAGAGAGAGAGAGAGAGAGAGAGAGAGAGAGATATCGAGAGAGATATCGAGAGAGATCTTTAGAAATAAACATACAAAGAAGGACTCTCCATTTTCTAGGGTGAGAGCATTGATACAACATTTTTGGTTTGATGTAGTAGAAGAATAGCTGTCACCTGTCTAGAATACTGTTCCCATGTTACCAGAAAAAATCCATGAGGAAATCTTCGCTCTTTACTAACCACATTCTTTGACAAAGATGTATATAGCTGCTGGTTGTCTTAATTCCTCTTTTATGTAGTTCAGTAGTAGATACAAAAATCTTGGCTTCATGTAAGATGACTAATTTCTATTGGCCCAGGAACATTTGAATAAATGTCATTTCATGGGTTCTTTTCCTTACCCTCTCCCTACAGGTTATCATAGTTGATCCTGCACATGAAGCCACAGCAGAGTTGATTAACACAGCTGAAATGTTCCTCAGTAATCATATACCATTAAGGTAACACTAGTATTGATTTGATAATCTCTCTAATTTAGCTGAGGTTTTGTTTGTCATTCCAAAGTATAAATCTGGGTGCTACTGAATTGTAGGGTAATTAATAGTGAGGATCATTAATGGCAATTTTACCTTCTACTTGGAATTGAAGCCAGTATCTTTTGGGKCTCAGAATTTGATTCTCAATGAATAGGAGCTTACCACCATTGAATTATTAATAAATACCTATTTAAAAATAGTTCGTGGTTCCAGCTTGCTTTCCAGTGCAGGAGAGTTTTCCTAGGTTGAATGACCACATCACAAAGCCAATTTCCACTTTCAGCAAACATATAGAGCTATGCCATAGTTGCTGTCAGACCATCAGGGACTAAATGTTATAAAATGTAACACAGCCTTTTATAGTGCAGACAAATTTTTTCAGTCACATTGCCAAATTTTCCAAATTTCTAGTTTTTTTTCAAGAACAAAAAATGTTTAAAGTTTTACATTTAAGTGTTAAGATATTTTTACTTTTATTCTGAATGCTTCTGATAATTTTACATGTTGATGAAATTTGTATTCTTTGAAAATCAAGAAAATAAAGATTGCCGGGTTTCTGTTCTAGCGACTAAAAGGCTCAGGGGTCACTCTAGTTAAACTGGGCTAACTGGGCTGCACGAAATAACCACACAAGAGACACAAATACCTTTTTCTTTGGGGTTGCTGTGACGGCTCCTCTGACCTTAAGGGTCTGCAGAAAGAGAGAGAGCGAGAGCATGCGCTGACCCCTTTTATTGAGGAGAAGCTATTCAAATGAGGCAAGGGGTCAGGTTTCAGGGGGCTGAGTCTGTCTTCATGATGTCCACTGTCAGCAGGTTGACTGACACCTGGGTAGGCCACACCCAAGAGCACAGTAAGATAAGGGGACACACACAAGGCACTTCCATGGAAGATTCTATCCTAAACAGGGCAAGGGGTTATATTACAAAGGAACAGGTGAGCATAGCTTCACCCATGGGGCTGTAACAAGACACACCCATTTTTGTGACTGAGCGCCTCAGCACCCAGCTGGGGAGTGTAACTCAGTCACCCATAAGGTTGGCCTCCCACAAAAGATGGAAAGCACTGTTTAGCCAGCAAGTATTAGCATGTGTTTCGTGTCCAACACCAAACTGTTGTGGATGTTTTAAAAGCTATATTCCTACCTTCTTGGAAGAAATCTTCAAGTGTATTTTCAAACACTTAAGACTTCTAGAAGATCACGTGCTAGATTATATCATACTAGCTATAAGTGCTTTAGAATTCAGGGAAACAAACAATAGACTGAGAAGTTTGGCATGCTCAGATATCTCAATCTGTGGAAGAAGTTGTTTTTCAGAGAGACTTTGAAGAAAACAGAATTTCAAATGCTAAGAAAGCAGAGATTTTTAGTTCAGTAAAACATTTCATATAAAACGCGAATGTACTTGGTAAGATGGAGGAATAAATTACTGAATCACAACCAGAGCTATATTTTGATTAAAAGGGACATCTAAAAATATGGGAGTGGACTCATGGTACACAGTGGGCACTGATGAAATATTTATTGATTGTACTGAGGGACAGGAAAAAGGATTGTGATCTTCAGCTGACAAAGGTAGATAAGAATAAGGCACCCAGACTCTGAGGCAACGAAAAGTGTGATGTGAACAGTTTTGGGGGAGACGTGAGCAGGCAGGCTTTACTTTTGCTCTTGGTGTGGGTGAATGTGGTCCTGCACTAAGGTTTTGGCAGGGGAGAGGTGCCTACAGGTTTTCAGACTACCTCCTGATATCTGGCCAAGCTAACAAAAAAACCTTTGAATCCTGTACTCCAAATTGGAAACTCGGGAATGAGGAATTAGTTATAAGGAGATAGTAAGGTTCTGCTGCCCTAACTTGGTGTTAGCTCATATGTTTGCTTACATAAGAATATTAGACTGCTTTTCATGATTTCAATCAGAAGTGGGATTAAAAAAAAAAGACAGTTTTCAACTAAAAAAATCTTTCTATCTCTGTCCACATAAACATCCACCTCAGCAGAGCTAATCAATTTTAACAATTTGATATATAACTTTATATTTTCCTCTGTTTTTAAGCTGTAACCCCTCTATTCTAAAATTAATAGATTGCTTTTCCAGAACTATGTTGATTAATTAATTAATATTGGTACACTAATATTAACTAAACTTCAAAGCTTCTATTAAGATTTACTGTTTGTGTGGCACATGGTAAGGGGTTTTGATAAAGGACAAATTTGGAATGTCAAGTATCTGTATTGTAGTATCATATGAGTTCAAGTCACTGCCCTAAAAATCTACTGTGCTCCACCTGTTTGTTTCTTCCTCCATTATCCCCAGAGCCTTGGCAACTATTTATCTTTTAACAGTCTTCATAGTTTCGCCTTTTATAGAATGGCACATAGTTCCAGTCATGCAGTATATAGTATATAGTCTTTTTTGAATGAGCTTCCTTGCATTGAAGATTCTTCTGTAGCTTTTTTTTAGTGCCTAGGTTTGAACCCACTGAGCTACATCTCCAGCCCTTTTTTATATATTTTATTTAGAGACAGGGGTCTCGCTGAGTTGCTGAGGCTGGCTTTGAACTTGCCATCCTCCTGCCTCAGCCTCCTGAGCCATTACAGGCATGCTCCACTGTGCCTGGCCTCCATTTCTTTGTGGGTTGATAATTTCATGTCTTTTAATCCCTTTTATGGATATATCACAGTTTATCTCTTCACCTATTGAAGGACATCTTTGTGCTTCCAAATTTGGGCAATTATGAATAAAGCTTCTGAAAATGTCTGTATGCAGGTATTTGTGTGGACACAGATAACATTGCTAACATTGGCTAAATACCAAGCAAAATTTCTGGATTGTGTGATAAGCCTATGCTTAATTTTGTGCCCTCTCATTGTTTATCATCAAGGCTGACYCATCACCATTTTGTACACCAGCAGAGTTACAACTTGTGGCCATTTTTCCCTATGCAACATCCCTCATGCACCAAATCCAAGTGGGTTTTTTGGTATATGTAGCTTTTATCTTGGTATTCAAGTCTTCTATCTTATTTGATTGGGAAATGAGCACAAATCCACTTATCCAAGGCAAATCATGATTTAATTCCACATGAGTACTAAAGAACACTGATGTTATTAACCTTAATATTAAAAGGACATCTGGCAAAATCATTCCTGTGGGCAGGTACTTAGTTTGTATGAATGTATTGTATATTTTCCAGAGGAAGAGAACATTTTTGGCTCATTTTAATTTGTTAATATGCAGATAAATATTAGTGTTTCTTGTTTCAAATCTTCCATTTAGTGCCTGAGATGACTAAAAACAGTTAGCCAGAATTCACTATTTATTCAAGTGCCTGTACAACTCAAATCAAAGGGCTGGTGTCTCTGTTGGTCTCCAGTCACATAAAACTCTGCTGGGATGCTTTATCCCACCTCCAATCTTTTTTCTCTTTTATTGCCAACCTCACTCTCAAGGGTTCTAAAACTAGCCCCCAGTTGACTCTCTGCTCTGAAACTTATACAGAGATCACAGAAACAATATTGTGGCCACTGTTAACATTTATTTTGCTCCCAACGAGGCACCAGTGTTCCTCCATTAAAATGCTTCATTAGAATTAAAGAGATATTTGATGGGAAATGTAGGGATTGCTATGCTAGAGGCTCCCTTCATGGATATTACTTTAGGATGGGGCCAAGGAGAGAAGAAAAGGACAAGAGTGAGGAAATAAAAACAGCAACAACAAATAAAACAAAAGTGTATGCTTAGTTGTCTTACAAAGTAGCTGCACTATTTTGCATTTCTACTGGCAGTGAATGAGAGTTCCTGTTGTTCCACTYCATGCCAGTATTTCGTATTGTCAGTGTTTTTGTGTTTGGCCATTCTAATAGATGTGTAGTAATATATCATTATTGTTCTAACTTATAATTCTGCAATGACATAGGATGTTCTGCATATCTTTTTTGGTAAAGTGTCTGTATAGATCATTTGCCCATTATAAAATTTGGTTGTTTTCCCAATGTTGTTTTCAGAGTTGTTTTTATATTTTAGCTACCAGTCCTTTATCACATGGGTATTTTGCTAAGATTTTCTGCCAGTCTGTGGCTTTTTCTTCTGCTTTTTATAGAGCAAAAGTTTTAAAATATAATTTTATTTTTATTTGTTCTTTTTAGTTATATATGACAAATAGAATGTATTTTGACATATTATATATGCAATGGTGTATAACTTCCCATTCTTGTGATTGTACATGATACGGAGTTACACTGGTCGTGTATTCATGTATGAACATAGGAAAGTTACATCTGATTCATTCTAGTATCTTTCCTAATCCCATCTGTAGATGCATAATAGCATTTTTCTTGTGGTTTATGTCTTTATTTTAAAATGTAATAAACTTAACCTTGGTTGTGGCTTTTTGGTATAGGACAATTATAAATTTTTATCCATATTTTCCTTTTATCTATATTTCTGATGTTGCTTGTGTTAAATCTCAGAAGCTATCCTTGTTTATTTTTAGTGTCCAAAAGCTTTCATTTCTCCAATTTTTTGTTTAAAAGCAGAATAAAATTTCCATCTAGAACTAAGTAAGTAATTCCCTTCATGTCAGTAACAGAATCTCTGTATGATTAGAAACAGCTTGCTTTTGCATTGGAAAAGCCTACAAGAACCTACTCTTATTTTGTATGTGAAGTGTGACTGCCTCTGTCAACTGGGTTAGAGTGGGGTTTGAACTGTGCTTTTCACTTACTAATTGTATCCTTATGTTATCTGTAGTACCTCAGGATGGGATGCTGTTCTTTTCAGCTGGTTTTCATTCTTTGAGATGTTTCTTCTTCTTTCCCCTCTAGAATTGGTTTTGTATTTGTGGTTAATGACTCTGAAGATGTTGATGGGATGCAAGATGCCGGAGTGGCTGTTCTTAGAGCATATAATTACGTTGTCCAAGAAGTGGATGATTATCATGCCTTTCAAACTCTGACACATGTATGTTTTTGTTCAAAATGACATATAGWTTTTTAAGATTTAACTTGGTGTAAAGCATAAAATGTGGTAAGAAGGATTTTGTTTTTCTGTAAATTATTCACATAAACTATGTGTTTTGTATTTCAGGGATTGCTTTTACTATATTGATTTGCTAACATCAATATTAGATTGCTAAGATTTCATCCAAGATGAGATTCTTTAGGAGCCCTGCCAGAGCATCTTAGTCATCTGCCATTTGGTGCTTTGAAATCACTGGTTAATATCTTCTATCAAATATGATAGTCTCTACTTGTTTAAAAAAATGTTTACTTTTTTTCTTTAAGACTGTCATGATTTTTAAAAATTAGGATTTAGCGTAACATATAACTCATAAAATTCTTATTGATCCTAGTCTTGTTTTTCTGTTTGTTAGAAAATCTGAAATGCTCTGACTTGTATGTATAGTCAAAGGATTTACTTATACAAGTTCAATCAGAATTCTCTGTTTTCTTGTTATTTCTTTTTTTAAAATTTTTGAATATAAACAACTTTGTAAGTAACAGTTGTTTTGTTTTCAGATTAATGATAACCTTAAATAATACATTAAAGCATTTAATCTCACCACTTCTATCCAAATACATGATGTTAGTCTGCATGTTATTATGTTTATTGTTTTGAATTTCATTTGAGACATTTTTTGTTCATTAGAATGTTCACTTACTTTTTTGGCAAACATTTATTGAAGACCCAGCATGTGCCAGGCCTGGTACTAGCTGTGGCGAATACAAAGACATAAGACTTCACCCTTGTCTTCAATGACATTACAACTTCCTGGAGGACAGATACAGAGAGAGAGTGTTCTACAGTGTGGAGAACATAGCTGGCTATGTGGCACAGGGCCTTTGTTCCAGCTGGGAAGGTCTTGGGTGTTTTTGTGGAGTGGGAAGTTGTCCCAGCAGAGTCTAGGAGGAAAAGTGGTAATCAGTTAAGCAGTTGCAAGTCAGACATGGTGATTCCAAGTTGTTAGTGTGAGCTGGGGATTATGAGAGCAAAGTGGAAGGGGAAGCTATTCCTCAGGGCCTGTGTAGTGTAGGCAGCTGGGGTGTGTGGAACATGGCAGGCAGATTTAAAAACTCAATTCTGCTGCAATGTGGAGATTGATCTCATGCAGGGCAAAGGGAGTAACTGGGATTCTAGTTGATAAGCTGCTCTGTTATCTCCATGAGAAATTATGAGGAAGATAGTTAGCAGTGGGGTTGTGGAGAATGAAATAGAAAAAGAGGCCACTCAGAATAACAAATGTTTTAAAAGTCTGCTTTTGAAAGCCCCTCTCCCCCACCTTCCTGGATAGGCATGTTAAGGAAAGGATAATACAAATTTTATTTTTTTTGTTTAATTTTTATTATAAAAATAATACATGTTTATTATTAAAAATTTCAAATAATATTTGTATCAGCTTAAAATTTCTCAGTCTCACCCCTTTCCCTTCCCTGATCCTCTTTAAAAGTAGGTATCATTAAAGGGTTGCCTTGCAGCTTTTTAGATGTTGAACTGTACACATATAGACACAATTTGCTATTTATTTTTTATCTGCTTTTTTTTTTTTTTTTTCCGGTACTGGGGATTAAACTCAGGGCACTGGACCACTGAGCTATAGTCCCAGCCCTATTTTGTATTTTATTTAGAGACAGGGTCTCACTGACTTGCTTGTCTTGTCTGAGGCTGGCTTTGAACTCACCATATTCCTGCCTCAGCCCCCTGGGGTATAGGCGTGCTCCATATCGCCCAGCTTTATCTGCTTTTTAAACACAGGGATTTAGCCATATATAATTTCTACCTTTTTTTACCCTAAACATCATGGAAATGCATCCTCATCTCAGTGATTACTTATAAGTGTTCGGATTTTCCTTAATGAATTTTGCATTTGGAACTTAATGTGATTATGAATTGATTGGAGCACTTAACTTTTTTAATTTAAACTTTTTTTGTGCCATTTCAAAATTATTTAGTTTCTCACCTAGGAAGGCATTTTAATGAAGTATTTAGAAAAGGGAGAATTCCTGCTGTGTTCCAGTTTGACCTCTTAAGAAAAATGTTTTTTTTTCCTACATTCAGAAATCTTTCATAATGAACATTTTGAAATTTGGGTTTAAAAGTGTGGTTACCTGTTGGTTTCTTTGTTCAGATCTATAACAAGGTGAGAACTGGAGAAAAAGTGAAAGTTGAACATGTGGTCAGTGTCCTGGAGAAGAAATATCCATATGTGGAAGTGAATAGCATTTTGGGAATTGATTCTGCTTACGATCAGAATCGGAAGGTAATAAATTCTTGGATACATCTCATTTAACTGCAATATTGTACTTTCTTCTTTTGGGGAGGGTTGTTAATGGTGGGAGTGTAGTTGAAGTGTTCAGTACTTAACATTTAAAAATTTAATAGCTTTTGGGTTTTTTTTTTTTTGAGCCATGGCCTCACCATGTTGTCCTGGTTGGCCTCAAACTCAAGATCCTCCTAAGTCAGATACTGCAGGCACACAACACTTGACTGTCTAGCTTTTAGAAAATTAGAAATGTGGTATATATATACAGTGGAATTTTATTCAGTTATAAATAAAATTGAAATGATGGCATTTGCAGGAAAATGGATGGAATTAGAGACCATCATGTTAAGTGAAATAAGTCAAACTCGGAAGGTTAAGTGTTGTATGTTTTCCTTTCATATATGCAGAAGCTAGAGAGGAAAAAGAAAAACAAAAATGGGGTTGGATCTCAAAAAAATTCAAAGGGAGATCTGTAGAAGGAAGGGACAATGGTGTGGGAGACGGGTAGGAAGGGTGGTAATGCTGGGGAGTGATATTGGCCAAATTATGTCATTATATTGTGTGCATGTAGGAATATGTAACAACAAATCCATTAATATGTACAACTATAATGCACCAATTAAAAATGTGCAAAAAATTTAAAATAAAAAACCCTTAGAAACCAGATCACTTTTTAGTGTTTGAAAAAGTAGTTTATATTTCAGTTTTGTGAAGCTATCATTGATTTTAACTTGCATATTAACTATTAAATTGCAGAATAAATACTTTTTATAATTTAGTAGTAGTGCTTGTATGAAGTATGTTCTAGACAAAATCTTTGAAATGTCCAGCTGGGAGATGATATATAGCTTATAATATATATCATATTGGCTTTAATTGTTTGGGCTGGAGATGGTAATATATTAAGAAATGTGATAAACAGGAGTGACAAAGTGGTAGTAAGGATATAATAAGGGAATTTAAAATTTTTAAATTTAAAGATAATTATTTTTCTTATGAGACATTAAATACAATAAACGACCTTTACCTATTATAAGCAGGAACAATTTGGTCAGCTTATTGAAAATGTATGTTAAGGCAAGAAATCAAAATACATTTCTGAAACATTTTAATTTAAAATATATGAGGTGGGGAGGAAGCAAGAGGGTAGGAAAGATGGTGGAATGAAATGGACATCATTACCCTAGGTACATGTATGATTGCATGAATGGTGTGACTTTATGTCCTGTATGGCTGAGAAATGAAAAATTCTGCTCCATAGCTTTCTATTGTCATGTATAACTGATTAGAACTAATAAAAAAATAAATAAATAAAAGAAAAAAATTTTACCAACTTTTTTCCTTTTTTTCAATGAAGAACAAAGCCTTTGATTTCTTTGAGCTATCATTCCTTTATGAACCACACTCAATGAATTATTTATAATTTTTTTCATTTGAGCACAGAATCCTTCTAGATTTTTATAATCTTCTTTCCAAGCATTTTAAATTGTCTGACCCATACTCAGTTTAGCCTCAGTTAGTTTTATCCTTATCTTTTTGAGTTTTCCAGTCATTCAGTTTGTAGGTAGAACAACCTTTTCTTTCTGTACTCATTTATTGGTTTATGTATCATTAAATTGTGTTATTTCACTAAAGAAATAGTTGATTTGGGAACAGAAACAACTAATGGTTACTAAGCATGAGCCTTCTAGAGAGTTCTTCACTAGTGTTAGTGTTTTGAGTAAGACAGTATTTACTGTTACTGTATGGGGTGCATTGTGATGTATTCTACTTGATGTTCTTTGATTTAAAATAAGTGCTTGTCACAACTTAGTAAGTAAATTTTGCAAATCACTAATGTTACAACCCATAAGTGCTTCAGAGCATTATCAATGGTGATATGTAATTTTAGAGAACATGTAGTCTTCCGTCTTCTTAGAATTATCTCATGACAGTGTTCTATCTATTCAGACACACACACACACACACACACACACACACACACACCAAAAAAAAAAAAATCCCATAATACAGCTTTATTACTACGTATTCAGCCTGCACATGGTACTTACTTTTTTTTTTTTCTTAATAGTTGTAGTTGGACACAATACCTTTATTTTATTTGTTTATTTTTATGTGGTGCTGAGGATCAAACCCAGCACCTCGCATGTGCTAGGTGAGTGCTCTACCACTGAGCCACAACCCTAGCCCCAGTACTTAGTTTTGATGTGTTTTTATCACTTATCTTCTGGACCCAAGAATTGAGGGAATGACTTAGAGAAAAGATCCCTGAACCTTAACGTTTTCTGTCTCTTAGTGGGAATGTTATAACTAGGTAAATCACTATACCTCTCTGAATTGTAATTTTATAATCTCTGAAGTGAATCTGATATTTTCCCTACTTACTTCATGGGATTATTTGAGGATCAAATGAAATAATATGCATAAAAAGAGTTTTGGTAAAATGTGCAGTATAGACATAGGTTCCAATTACATAGTTGTATGTTATTCCTCAACTCCTGGTCCGAGAAGGTAAGTGATTTAAGCATCTTGGGTATAATCTAAACTCATTTTTTTTAGTACCGCACCCTCATTTTCTTATTATTTATTCAACTTTTTGCAGGGTATAACCAAAGACCTAATTCTAAATTTAGATCTCAAATTTATGCTTCTCTACCAATGAATACTCAAGGCCACAAATCATATATTTTTTTGGGGAGACACTCTTTCTCTGGCTTTAGTCTAAAGGAACATTGGTGATATTAAAGACCATAGGGCTGGAGTTGTGGCTCTCTGGCAGAGCGCTTGCCTTGCATATGTGAGGCACTGGGTTTAATTTTCAGCACCACATAAAAATAAATAAACAAAATAACTAAGAAAAATTCAAAAAACGTTTTTAAAAAAGAGACTTTAAAGGCCAAGGAACTTGAAGAGAAGTCAGAGGAAGGGACATAAAATATTAGTGAACTTTAGTTCTTTAATTTTTTTCTTTGGTGAGAGAGTTCAGTGCAGAACTTTAATGTAGCTGAGACTTGAAACTTTTGGAGAGAATGTAAACCTTGATGAGGTAATTTAAACTCAAATTTTAAAGTGCATTATTATGGTAGACCATGATCTTCAAAAACTTTGTGCTCTCCCAAAGTGCTAGAATTTGAATGCCAAAATCAAATTGATTCATATTCTGTCCATTAATGGTCTGTGGGTTTCCTTAAATGAAGTTAATACTTAAGTGTTCTGCAAAGCTGCTGGGGATCCAAGGCTCTAAGAGGACCACCTCACCATACTATAGTAGCAAGTGTTTATTAATCAGGTAATTTAGTTAATTGAGATTTGTTAGGAGATATGCTACTCTAAGGTGATTCAAGTTTTAGAGGGATTGCACAAAATACTATTTAGTAAGAACAAGACACAAGATCATAACTAGAGAATTTCAGAACTGTTTTGGAGTAAGGAATAAAGTTTGAATTCTAAAACAGTTATAATACTGGGCAACCTCCTGCTATCAGCCCTGATAATCCTACTTTGTGGGAATTCACACAGCTTCATTGGAAGAGACAAAGAGATGAGAACAGTATTGTTTTGATGATTGTGATGTTCTGAGTGTTCGCTCCTTATTTGTGAAGGCCCAGTGCAGAAAAGGGCAGTTCTGTCACTTTGGGGCAAGAGGAAGCCTGAAGGTCTCTTGGGAACACTGGTAAATGAGGTCTCAGAATAGCCTGAGGATGGCTACCTTGTGTTCAGTCACTTACTTTTCTGTCTTTTTTTTTTTTTTTTTTTTCCTCCCTTGGGTACTGAGGATTGAACCCAGTGCATCCAGCGTGCTAGGCAAGCATTCTGCTGCTGAACTACACCTCCAGCCCCTTTTCTGTTTTTTTTTTTTTTTTTCAAAATGAAACAATAAAACCTAGTAATTTTTTTTCCATATTGATACAAAAACAGCAGGAATAATATTCTGTAGAAAATGAGTAAGTGAAGTAAAGGAAAAGTGGGATCACTTTGGGAATATCAAAAATTTGAGAGAATTTATGGAATTTTCTCATTCATAACACTTAGAAATGTTTAACTTTCATTTTCTCTTCACCTATTGAAGAAAAAGTACAAGTGGCTTTTTATTTATTTTTTTTAATTTCCGATGACTGCTTTATCAAAAGTATCTGCTTTGGGGTTGGGGTGTACATGTCGAGTATATGAGGTCCTGTATTTAATCTCTAACATTACATTAAAAAGAGAAAAAAGTATTTGCTTGAAAATTTTTGAATAGAGGAGACAAATTGGGAGAAAGGTTATTTTTACTTGTGTTTAAATCTTGCTTCTGCTAAAGATCTGAAGAGAATATCACAGACCAGGCTCTTAAGTACTTTCCCAGACTTGACCATTTTCCTCATCTGTATCAACAGATTTAAACTGCTTAGTTTCCTAACTATTTAGGTAAAGTTCTCTCAAAGCAAGGATGTTGAGAAGATCTCAGAAGTCCTAAGAATCTAATGATTAATAAGAATTTTTAAACTGCAAGAGCTTTACCTACACATACACACACACACACACACACACACACACACACACGAACAGGTTCTTCTGAAATAATTAGTTTTAGGAAAAAATGACTGCTTTTAGCCTATATAATTGTACTTATGAATATATCTGTGCCTTTTGTTAACAAATCTGAAGTAATAATATCTTTTGTGTGTGATAAGTAGACAATGCAATTTAAGTAGAACTTTTTAGCTGAACAGATTTTTTTTTTTTCTGATTAGGTGTATATTTATATCTTTCAAAGCCATTAGGAGAAGTTTTAACTTGTACATGCAAACATTTTACTTTTGACATATATAACCATGAGTRTTAATCTCATTTGTCATTTGTGAGTGGCTCATTAGAAGACTTTGACAGTAATTAATGGTTGTTAGTAATTTATCATTAACATTTCCAGTGATTTGTTTATAGAAAAATCTCACTTGTCATGCTTAAATCCTACTTTGCTAACTGGGTTGTTTTGTTATTTGTATTATAAACTATATACAAGTGGTGAAAAAGGAAAGCAAATTAGTTAAATTGCCTCCTTCCATTCCTGACTGTGACTCCAATACCTTTCTATATATAAGATCCATGTTACTTATTTATTATTATCTCTTGGAATTATAATGTGAGGTTTTTAGTTTTGCTTTATTTTCAGAATTTGAGATGGGATCTTGTTGTGTTGTGCCTGCTGGTTTCTAACGTGGGCTCAAGTGATCTTCCCACCTCAGCCTTCTGAGTGCTGGGACTATAGGTGTGCACCACTTTACCTAACTTTTTTGTTTTAATTGGTAGAGGAGGATGGTATCAAAGCTCAAGTTATATTAAAATTGAGTTTTTAAGGACTTCTGTGATATAGTTGAGGTTTTAAAATAGAATTAATATGGTATGAGTTTGGAAGTGTTAATTTAAATTTAAATTTGTTATTTTAAACAATGAATGGTGGCTCATGCCTGTAAGTAATTCCATCGATTCTAGAGGCTGAGGCAGGAATATCGCAAGTATAAGGCCAGCTTGGGCAACTTAGGGTTGGATCCCTACATCAGTAGCCCAGTGGTGGAGTGCCTGTTGGTTCAATCCCCAGTACTGCACTAAATAAATACATACATACACACTGAAATCAACCTAGAAAGCCTTTTTGACTGTACTGTATTATACTCCATCGGTTACTTATTACTGGGCTAGATCTGACTAGAGTCAAATCTATTATTGATGACTAATATTAATTATTGGTTTTTTGTTTGGCCTATCTAAGAAAAAGTTATAAATAAATTGTGCAACTTTCAGAAAAGATCCACTTAAAAGGTATTTGTTACATCTTAGGTAGTAATGTAGTTTTTAGTCAGAAAAGTTAGTTTGAGGGAACAGTACCCTTGTTGATAGGAGAAGTGTTCATTTCAGATCTATTTACCATTTTGTTGCCTTGGTATTTTCTTATAAAGAAACTTCTTTTGTACTAGAAAAGGTGAAAGATTTGACTTAGTATTTCTTAGAGCAATTTTTGAACCCTGTTTTCCCACAAACCTTATTTTGWTTTCTACAGGTATAATTTTTTGATCATGATATGGACCCTTATTTATTTTGAATTAGGTGTAAATATTTCAGGGCATTCTGCCCAAGAGCATTATTAATTTATGGTAGAAGCTAGCTGTGCTCAGTGGTTATGGTAACCCCCCAGCTATATGTGGTCTTTTAAATGGAAATTAACTAAAATTGAAGATTTAGTTACTTAGTCATTGTAGCAATATTTGAAGTGCTCAGTAGCCACAGGCAGTTAGTAACTACTACACTGGACAGCACAGAGTATTTACATCATTACAGGAAGTTCTGTTGTACTTATAATGTTAACCATAGTATATGCAATATGTAGCCTGCAATACACACATAACATTTCTAATTTGATTTTTTGGGGTTTTATTCTTCAAACTCATTTATTCCTATTAGAAGAGGTATGTAAGAAAAATAAGCTTTGTTCCATTTGTGTCATGAGGGGCAAAAAATGTACGGTTTTGTGTTCCCTTGTGTTCTAGGAAGGAAGAGGCTACTATGAGCAGACTGGTGTCGGTCCGCTGCCTGTCGTTCTGTTCAATGGAATGCCCTTTGAAAAGGAACAGCTAGATCCTGATGAGCTGGAAACCATCACAATGCACAAAATCCTGGAGACCACTACCTTCTTCCAAAGAGCTGTGTACTTGGTGAGTAGCATTTCAGGGCTGACTTTGAAAGAAAAGAGTTTGCTTATGTTTTTGTTGCTTCTGTAGTTGGCAGTAAAACTCTCTTGCAAGAGAAAAGTTAGYTTTCATTTTTGTAGCTTCTGTAGTATGCAGTAAAACTCTTTAAGCAGCACTGTTTTCTGTGTGCCACTAATTGGTTTGCAGACTCCTAGAAACTCTTGCTATAAAGAAAAATATTCATAAAACTTCTGTATAGTATAATTGAAATAACAACTTTTATTGGTTTCAGGATTAAATATTTATTTTATTATTATTTATTTACAATGCTGGGAGTTGAACCTAGTACCTCACGCATGCTGGGCAAGCATTCTATCACTGAGCTATATCTCTGGCATTAAATATTTAAATTGTAAGAATTCCTAAGGGACTTTTTATTCTATTTGTAAGAAATTTTGACTTTGGAAAGACTCAAACATTATTACTTATACATAATTATTGATTCTAGTTGTTGATATAATTCACATATTATAAAAACTCAACTTTCTAACACGTGTAAGTCAATGGTTTTGGGTATATATACAGAGTATCAGATGTGATCTGAGGGGCCATCTATGAACAACAAAGACACTTCTATCATTGGATTAAGAGGTTCTTACCTGGAATCAGGAATATAGACTATCTAAATTATTTGCTATGTACTGTCAGTTTTCTCTCCTTCTGAAGATGTGTGGATATTAATATTCTGTTGTGTCCTATATGTCATTTTGCTTATGTTTCTTAGACAACCTTATTTGATTTATCTTCAAGCTCACTAATTTTGTTGTGCTGTTTGCTATTGTTTGTTGGAGTGGCTGTTTTTTGTCTAGTGACTTATCTGAATAAATTCTTTGTCATGTGTGGCCTCTGAAGTTTTTGCTTGTTTGGTTTATTGATCAGCTAATGAAGCAACGGAGATTTTCTTAAATAGGATGCATAGATCTAAAAGTCCCTGTTTTCCCCAAGAGTTTGTTTTTGTGTCAAGTATTCTTTCACGACTTAGGCTATAGACAACATTGTTGTTAGCCTTCAGTTCTTGCTTGCACATTTTTAAGATTATGAGAGTTTAGGGCTTTTTGTAATTTTTCTTCGGTATTCACATACTTCCAGGTATCATGTATGGGGTCTTTTAGATTATAGGGAATAATATGTCAGAATTTTTCATATCCACTTATGGATATGTCATTTTTCAGCTTTTAATTTTTTTCCAGCTTAATATTACCCCATCTATTATCACCTAGGCAGCTGAGATGTTAAACAATTGCTCCTGATTCTTTTGGATAAATATCCCCTGGGCAAAGGTTGTTGGTACTGAGTAAAGTAATATATAAAGAGAACCTCCTGCAAATTCACATATTTTAGTTGTTGTTGCCTTTATTATTGGGCTGTTGGTGTTCAAGTAATAGGGTAAGATAAAATGTCACAAAGGCAGCCAAGCATGGTGGCATACACCTGTAATCCCAGGCTACTATGGATACCGAGACAAGAGTATCACAAGCTTGAGGCCAGTCTGGGCAATTTAGTGAGACCCTGTCCCAAAATAAGAAATTAAAAGGGCTTAGATGTAGCTGAGTGCTTGCCTAGCATGTGTGAGGCGCCGAGTTCTATACCCAGGATTGAGTGTGTTGGGGGCGGTGGGGTCACAAAGGTCACTTTCCTACCGAGAGTCAGTTTTCTTCAAAAAAAGTTCCTTTGAGTTTTGCAAGCCTTCAGTTAATTTCCAGTTTGGGGAAAGGTAGTTGACATTTTTTGGTACTGGAGAGTGAACCCACAGTGTTTTAACATTGAGCTACACCCCAGCCCTTTTTATTTTGAGACAGGGTTGCTGTTGTCCTCAAACTTGCAATCCTCATGCCTCAACCTGCTGAGTTGCTGGGATTATAGATCTGTGCCACCATGCCTAGCTTGACTAGGTTTTCTAGCATTGTCAAAAGAATTTTTTTTGGAAGAGAGACTTGTCAGAGGYCTTTACTTTGTCATTTCTGCAAATTCCCTCAAATATTTTAAATATCAAATGATGTTGATATAACAGTAACCCTAAGTAAAAATAAATGTATTTAAATTTGTTATTGAAGTAAAAGTTACAAAATTTACCACTTTAAGTGTTCAAGTCAATGGCATTTAGTATAGTCACAATCCTGTGCAACTTTCCCCTCTGTTTATCTCCAGAACTTTTTATCATTCCAAGTGGAAACCATCTACCCATTAAACAATCAATACCTACATTCTCTTCTCCCAGCCACTGGTAACCAGTGTTCTACTTTCTATCTTTATGAATTTGCCTATTTCTCATACAAGTGAAATTATATAATGTATGTCCTTTTGTGTCTAGTCTGTTTCAGTGTTTATCTACATTGTAGCATATATCAGAATTCCTGTGAGTGTGTGGGTGTATGTGTACCATATTTTGTGTGTAGCATACCATATTTTGATTATTCATTCATCTGTTGGTAGATATGTGGATCATTACCTTCCTTTGGCTGGCTATTCTGACTAATCCTGCTATCAACATTAGTGTACAAATGTCTGTTTAAATTCTGCTTTCAGTTATTTTGGTCATATACCTAGAAGTGGAGTTGCTGAATTATATGATCATTCTGTTAAACATTTACAGAAACTGCCATACTATTTTCCACAGCTGTTGTATATTCCCACCTGAAATGTGAAAGTGTTGCAATTCTCATATCCTTGCTAATACTTGTTATTGTTGTTGTTGTTTTTAACAATAGCCATTCTAATGGATGTGAAGTAGTATTCCATTGTGATCTTGATTTATTTGCATTTCCTAATGACTGCTGATGTTGAGTATCTTTTCATATAATCATTTGCCATTTGTATATCTTCTTTGGAGAAATGTCTATTCAAATTATTATCCATTTTTGAATAGAGTTTTTTAATTGTAATTAAGTTATAGGACTTTTAATTTATTTTGGATTTTAATCCCTTATCAACTATATGATCTGCAAATGTAGTCTTCCATTCTGTGACTTTCATTATCTGTGCTTGTGGTGTTTTATATAAGAAATCATTGCTAAATCCATTGTTGTAAAGATTTCTTTCCTAGTATTTCTTCTAAGAGCTTTATACTTTTAGCTTTTTAGTTTAGGTATTTGATTTTTTTAGTTAATTTTTGTAAGTTAAAGGTCCAACTTCACTCTTTTTGCATGTTGGTGTAGGATTTTTCTAGCACCTTGTGTAAAAAGAACAGAAATACAGTTTAAAAAAAAATTTTACTTGTAATAGATACTTTATTTTTAGGTGGTGCTGAGAATTGAACCCAGTGCCTCACACATGCTAGGCAATTGTTCTACCGCTGAGCCACAACCCCAGCCCCCCCTCAAGAAATAAACTTTTAAAGAAGTAAATTCAGGCTGGAGATATATCTCAGTTGTGGAGCACTTTTCTAGGATGCACAGGTCCTGAGTTTGATTCTCAGAAAAAAGGAGATATTGGTGTGCAAATGTCTGTTTAAATTCTGCTTTCAGTTATTTTGGTCATATACCTAGAAATGGAGTTGCTGGATTTTATATATATATATATATATATATATATATACACACACATACACACATACACACATACATACACACACACACTTCACACACACGTATATAGAATCATTCCAGTATACATGCAGATACACATACATGTTTCAAGGGACTGATGAAGGGAAGAATTTCTACTTTTTACTTTATATACTTTATTTTTCCTAAATTTAGCCATTTTAAAAATATGTATATAAGCATATATGGCTTTTGTCATAATAAAGGAAAAATTTTCCTATTTGCCCAAGCAAGCTTCTCACCAACCAAACAAGTGGGAGCAGAGGAAAATCAGTAATCACCAAGGGGATATTTTTACATGGTTACTCTTATAAACAAAAGATATATTGGTATCTGAAAAACAGAAAACAAAAGCTCTTCTGATTTTTTTTTTCTTTTTTTCTTTTTGTGGTGCTGTGGTTTAATCCCAAGACCTTACCCATGCTGGGTAAGCATTCTACCACTGCGCTATGTCCCCAATACTCTTCTGAATTTTTATAACTAACACTGAAGAAAAAATTTAAATTTCTAAAAAGGAGGCTGGAAAATGTTTTATCTGTTTATATCACTTAAATAAAGAAAAATAATTACCATTTCTCCTAGAGGTTCATAACTTTAAGCAACTATGTCAAATTCATTCAAATGAAAACTTGTTTTCATATACCCATTCCAGTAGCTCCATGAAGAGCAATTCCTTAACACAACAACTGTTGCAGTAATTCACTTGCAGGTCAGCATGGGAAAACAAAGAAGAAGAAGAAGCAGAGCAAGCAAAGCAGCAGCAGAAAAAAAAGTCCTTTATTGTGTACAAGCAATCTTTTTATAGTATTGTGAACAAAAAAGGCAGCCTTCCAACTTCAATAAATCAGGTCTTTCAGCTAATTAAACATRGCACAYAGAAGTTTTACTTTCTAATCAGAAGTGACCCGCTTCTCATGGCTAATCTACTCTCGGCCTGGAGTATGCTGAGCTYTGCTCTTTGTTTAGAACAGATAAAAAATTTTTCTYAGCGCCCTCCTAGCCCACTTGGCAGAACATCCCGTTTGCAGGCAAGTTCTCCCAAGGTCAGCAGACACCTCGYTTTCAAGCATGTCTGTTGTTACCTATCTAAACCTTGAAGAAGCCTCTCGTTTGCGAGTAGACTCTCCCAGGGACAGCAAACATCTCGTTTTCAAGCATGTCCGTTGTTACTTTATCTAAACCTTGAAGGAGCCCCTCGTTTTCGAGTAAGCCCTCCCAAGGACAGCAGACACCTCATTTTCAAGCATGTCCACTGTTGCCTTTCTATATCTTGACAGAATATCCTGTTTGCAGGCAAACTCCATCAAGGACAGTAATAGTAACGCAGTCACATCTGATTCTCTACAACAACAAAGATCTACTCTTTTTTTTAAAATTGTTTTACATTATTCATTCTAATTTGTATTATATGACAGCAGAATG